TTACGGGTCGATTTTCTGATGTTGAATATGTCAGTCATTTATTTGTACTCTGTAGCCTTGGAAAGGTTGGACATAAGTATCATTATTCATTTGAATACAGTTATTTTAAGTAGCAAAGACAGAAATATGTGCCTGTATATTTTAGGTTGAGACCAAATGTACATATGATGGAGATGCTGTTTAACTCTAAAGACATTAATTTTGTAAGGAAATTATATCTGCAGTTGTAATTAAGCAAATGCTTCAGCCAATACCTTTTGATTAGCCTTGTCTCATGCTTTCTTTCTTTATGGTAGATTTTTGTTCTGTTTTCACTGTTTTTTTTTTTCACTGTTTTCACTGAGATTTGAATTTGAATGCTAATCAATAAAATCAATAATCAATCAATCAATTAATTTGTATATATATGTATTTCTTTCTTTGGGAAAACTGAGATTGCATGTTTTGATGTTGGTGTAATTTTTGCAGCCTTAAGAGGTAAAACTGAACCTGAGGGTAGATTTATCAAAGAAATCATTTCTCATTCATTGACTTTAAGAATAATGATGAGTAAGAATGGATCGAATTAAAGGAAATAAGTAAAGGCAAAGGAAAATACAGTTCTCTGAAAAGCCAATGTGGCAAATCTTAAGTTTGAAAAGGAACACCTGGATTTTCCACAGCACTTCAAGGACCGTAATCTATGGACAGATAAATTCATTAATAATTAAACAGCCACAAAGTAACTGACAGTGACATTGAAACAGCCAAAACAACCTAATTATGCCCACAGTTAGTAATGGCAGAACAAACCTAGATAAAGAAGGGCTAACTGTTATAACTAGAGGTCCTAAATATCAACCCAGTAAAATAATTAATTGTTTCATTTCTGTATAAAATCAGACTGTACATTAAGCAATCAATTCAGAAATACAAGTGGGGACCTTTTGTTGCAACTTGTCTGTGAAGGTTCTCAGTCATCCAGGTCATCGTAGTCAAAGGAGCTTGCAAAGAAAAGCGTCTGGACTTCTTTAAGTTGCTTGAAGACGTTTCACCTCTCATCCGAGAAGCTTCTTCAGTTCTGAAGAAGAAGTGAAACTGAAGAAGTTTCTCGGATGAGAGGTGAAACAAATTCAAGCAACTTAAAGAAGTCCAGATGCCTTTCTTTGCAAGCTCCTTTGACTTTTGTTGCAACTCTGATTTCTCTCTAAATCATATAATTTAACCCAAAAAAAAGAAACACATGGAAAACCTAACTGTAATGTTATGTCACCGTTTTTCTTGTCCCTTTATTGGTCCAGAAAACACCTCATATTCGTCTTCCTCGCCTGTAAACTGTTGATTCTGACTGAGCTGCAGTGTTAGTGAAGGGTTAAAAATGCTTGCTGTCTTTGAGACTCCGCCTCCTTTCAGTGACTCAGCATAACAGGAAGCAGGAAGTGTTCACCATTACGCATATACAGCTGTTACAAGACTGTAGCTTTGAGGTATGTTTCACTCTAACTTTCTTCTTTTTTAAACAGAACACTATTTCATTTGCATTTAAAGGCTGTTTTTCATGCATAGATTTCACAGGATGCAGTAAACAGACAACAGAACAACTGACTAGGGTATTAAAAGGGAGTGACTTCCCCTGTGTTTGCTTAGTTTCTTGAACTCTCCCTTACTTTCAGTTTCAGGGTAAAACAGGAGCAAAGCCTCGGGATGGCAGGGAAGCTCTATCTCCCTGAGTTGGACCTCACTTGTGCCGTGTGCTGCGAAATCTTCAAAGACCCAGTGGTCCTCAAGTGCAGCCACAGTTTCTGTGCATCCTGCCTGCAGCGGTACTGGAGTCGACAGAGACGAAACCGTGACTGTCCTCTGTGCAGAACCCAGAGTGTGGATGATCCCGTTCCTAGTCTCACCCTGAAGAACCTGTGCGAGTCTTATACACATGAGAGCGAGGAACCGGAGGAGACAGCGGAAGAGCTGCCCGGTGAACCAGGGGAGTTGTGCCCTCATCATGGGGAGAGGCTCAAGCTGTATTGCCTGTCAGATAAGGTGCCTATCTGTGTTGTCTGCCATACCTCAAGAAAACACAAGCAGCACGAATGTTGTCCTGTCAGCGAGGCGATTGTGGATGTGAAGGTAAATATTTCACTTTCCTGATCAAATAAGGACTTGAGATTGAATAATGATGCCTTTTTTCTTGGGCTCCTTTACTAAGTTTATACAGAGTTTCTGTCACAAGTCATTATGCTGAAGGATGTTACAAGCCTAAAGCGAGATGAACAAACCTTCTAATGAATTTACTTTGAATTATTTACTCAGGAGAAAATGAAGTCCACTCTCAGCTCACTGCAGGAGAAGAGGGAGGCGTTTGACAAAAGGAAGAAGAACTATGAAGACACTGTGACCTACATTCAGGTGTGGTGATAATCTGTCAAACTATGGGTTAAAATTCCTAGTAAGTCACTTTATTTAGTGGCTGTCAGTAAACTCATTTCCAAGCCATGCTTAAGCAGATTATTTTACAGGTCCAGGCTCAATTTGTGGAAAGACGAACCCATGAGGAGTTTGAAAAACTTCACGACTTCCTTCACGCTGAAGAGAATGCCAGGATGGAAGCGCTGAAGCGGGAGGAAGAGCAGAAGAGCGAAGAGATGAAGCAGAAGGTTGAAGAAATAGAAAGAAAAATGGCATCTGTGTCCGAATCCATCAGAGTTTTGGAGGAGGAGATAGCTTTGGAGGGCATCTCAGTCCTTCATGTAAGTTTGAAATGAGACTAAAGAAGGAACACTTTATATTTTTTCCCCCTTAAATGCTAAAGTGAATTTGCCTTTTAATTTTGTCTTTTAGAACAGTAAGAGGACTCTGTTAAGGTAACGAACAGTTTAATATTTGTTTTATTCTTTGCTTAACTTTCATAATGTGTTATGTAACCTGCTTTTTTTGTGTTTTCTGCAGTGCTGATTGTCCTGTTGAAGATCCCGTTATGCCTCCAGGAGCACTCATAGACGTGGCCAAACATGTTGGCTCTATGATGTTTTATGTGTGGGAGAAGATGCATAAAATTGCCAAATACAGTGAGTTTAACCATAATGTGCTGCTTGATTTAAACTCTGAGCTGGAGTTTGAGTTTGTCATGAATTCCCAAGGTGGAGGAAAGGTTGAAATGTTTGACTGAACTACAGCCACAGTAACTACAGCTGACAATCTGCCATGTTTCCTTCAGCCCCAGTAACTCTGGATCCCAACACTGCTGCCCCATGGCTCATTCTGTCAGATGACCTCACCAGCGTCTGTGACAGCGATGAGAAACAGAAGCTCCCAGACAACCCGGAGAGGTTCGACCCCGACACCGGTGTGCTGGGCTCGGAGGGCTTCACCTCAGGAAGGCGTACCTGGGATGTGAATGTGGGAGATAATACTGCGTGGGTTGTCGGCGTGGCTAAAGAATCTGTCCAGAGGAAAGAGAAAGTGTCCTCGGTCCAGAAAAACGGCTACCTGTGTGTGTACTTCTACCACAAGATGTACTTTGCGGGTACCTCCCCTTTAACGCGACTAAACCTGAAAAGGAACCCGCAGAAGATCAGAGTGCAGCTGGACTGTGACAAGGGCAAGGTTTCTTTCTATGACGCGCACAACAACACCCATATCTACACCTTCAAACAGGCAATCACTGAGAAAGTCTTTCCTTACTTCTGGGTCGGTTGTCAGCAATGTCCTTTGACGGTTGAACCAATGGAAGTTGCCCTGAGTGTAATTGAAAGTGCAACTTAGTTACTCTGTGACTTTGAGAAACTCATCAAATTAAATGTCAGATTATTTGCCACTTTTCTTTCCTGGTTCAATGCAGTGTTCTTTGGCTCTTCTTAATTTAAAACTCAATGAACACACTGATCAAGGTACTTAAGATTCAGTGATTGGTAACTTGAATTAGAGCATTTTTTTTTTTGCATTAATAATCTATGAATTATTCATTTGTTTATTATCAGCATATAAATTGTGAGGTTAAAAAATAGTACAGATTAATTACTTGTATGTAAGTTTTAAAAATGATTATGCATGTCATTGTCTACACATTCCTCTCTTATTTTGCTGTATTACTAACTACTAATGTATGGAAAACATCAAATGTGCTTTATGTGCACATACTACTCATGTTTTACAGTGCTAATTTACAAATAAAATATTTGCAAGTATTGTGGCCTCCCTTGATGATGTGTCACCAGCCAGTCCTTACTGGACATAGACCTGGAGTCGGAGAGCAGCCAGAGTTTTCTTTAGCGTCTGAGGTGAGCCTATATGTTTGGTCAGATGTGACGTCTGAGATTTTATTACCTGCTTCCTAAGGGCATGATTTTCAGATACAGTTCATCTCCTGTATATAGTTTTCAGGTCTGACACGTCTCTCGTCATCCACTTTTCAAGTTTCCATTTTTTTTCTCTTAACTACACGCTGCGCACCATGCTAACATGTGCCACGGATTTGCCTAATAGCTCTCTGGAAATCACCAATTTGATCCAAAATACTACTTTATGGCTGTCAAACTGTTTTATTTTGTGTTTTTTGTAGATTCAAATAAATAAAATGGAACACAATGTGTGTTTTTGGAACAGGCTACTGGTAACAGAGTCCCCAAAGATACAATTTAAAGTTGACCGCGATGAGTACAAAACACAGTATTATTCTTTGAGTTGGGTGGCTATTTAATGCCTGAATGATTCATAGGCCAGTATTGTGTGCCTTAATAGGGTGAAGGACTGGACTGAAAATGAGTAAAATGTCCAAAGAAAAACTTTGAAAGAGTTTCAGAAAACCTGTCTTTGAATTAAAAATCACAAAGACAGAATATGCTGGGCTTCAAAATCAGCTTTTATGTAGCAGCTGTTTGTAGTTCTGTTCAAAATGCAGTGAAAGTATCCATTTTTTAAAAAAAAAATTCCTCTCATTTTTAGTGGGGTTTTTTTCTTGGTATATGAACAGCCTTTGCACACCGTTCACTTTCACCTCCCTCTGAACTCTACAGCCTGGCGCATTGAAGCTGACCGTCTTTTGTATAAAGAAGGGTTTTAAAGCCATATACATAAAAGCTTCTTTTTTTCCTGCAACTTTGACTCAGCAAAGTTTAGAGGCCTGAGGCGGACTCACGGTTAATGTAAGCCAAACTCGTTAAAAGTCTAATTAGCTAGTCATAGTGCCTTGCTACGGGTGTATGTAGCTAGCAGGTTGAGTCGTGTGTTGTAAAGGCTCAGTTAAGTTCTTTAGAGGTTATGTTGTGGAAAGCTGTTTTGCCTTCAGACCTGCCGGGCCTTTAAATAATTGTTTAACTGGTACTAATGAGTCCAAAGTGTGCCGAGAAAATATCTCCCACATCTTTACATCACCTCCACCTGAGGGTATTGTCTCCATCTTGCCTTGATGTTTTTTTTTATGCCAAATTCTGACTGTACCATCTGAATTCACAACATAAATTCAGGACAATCTTTTATTGTACACCTTTGGTGAGCCCATGTAAATTGTAGCCTCAGTCTCTCATTTTTAGCTGGATGTGATGCTGTGTGGTCTTCTGCAAGGTTCAGTGTGTTGTGAATTCAAAGATCCTCATGTTTGTTCTTAAAAGTGTTTATTTGTTTGCCTTTCTTACATCAGAAGTTTCAGAAATTCTCAGATTGGCCTGTCTGGCAGTAAACTATGGTTGTTGCATGAATGCTACTGTGTGACTGGCTGAGTAGATATTTGTGGGGAGCAGCAGTTGAGTGGGTCTAGGTATTAAAGTGGCTGGAGAAAGGTTTTACAGAGCTGGCTTTAGTTCTGTTCAAAATTATGAAAAATAGTGCATTTATTCAATTATTTTCAAACTTAACCATCAAATCTCAAAAGTTGGGGAGTTTCGTGGCAGTAACTGCTAGTTAAAATTCCTGTTCTCTTCATTTGTAGTGTCTCTACGTCACTATAACCTTGTGTTTGTTCCAGTTTGCAAAAAATAATTGTTAAAATTGTTCTTGGTTAGGAAGTCCAACATGGCTGGAATTTCATGCACAAGGGCAACAAAGAGAAAGTTGTCTGGTAGTGCTAAAGCTGCAGAACCTGCATCCAGGTCCTCCAAAGTCACCTTTCTGAGCCCGTCTCTCCTCCTCTTTGAAATCCCTGCTGACGCCGACACCAGCCTCCCAGTGTGGAAGGCCATGAGAACCGAGCAAGCTGACATCACCTGGACCGTCAAGCCCTATGGCCTCAGCATTAATATAACACCTCCGACCTCTAAGAAAGGAAAGCATTCTGCTGCCAGCAAGAGTGAAAGCTCTTCCAGCATGGTGCAGACTGCAGGGCTGTCTTCTAGCATCCTGCAACCTCAGATCTGCATTCAGCCCACCACTCAGCAGCAATCGCAGAGCAGCTCCTGTGTGCTGCTTACCTTCCCCCAAAACACACAGTCTGTGTCACACCCCCCAAGTCCTATTCCAGTCACTTCACTTATTGTCTCCTTGCCGGTCATTATTGCCCAGGCCCAGCATACCAGTCAGCCTACTGCTCCTGCCAACAAAGGGTCCATATCTTCCACCCAAACGCCAAGTGGAACCCCTACCAAGCAAACCACCAAAACCCCATCTAAAGTGCCTGTCTCATTTCACACAAAAGGCTGCTCTACCATCCAAATCTGTGACGACTTCCTCCTTGGTTTGTGTTCTGCAGAGGAGAAGTGTAAGATGCACCACACTCCCTATCCCTTTCACTGGCAGCTGTGGTGTGTTGCCAACCGCCAGTGGGTGGACATTTCTCCTCGCTCTCAGGTCTTGCTGGAGAGGATGTACTGTGACGTCAATAAGGATGCCATTTGCCTCAAAAATGGGTGAGTAACAGGGTAGATCTTTTGCTAAAGTCTGCAAATTAAAAAAAGAAAAAGATGGGCTTTTTTGAGACAAAAATCACAAAGGTTTGTGGATTCTTTGTGTAACTTCAGAACACTTTCTTTAGGAATGAACGCTACACTTTGAAATTTGACTCAATGAAACTGGATGACTCTTCCGTGTATGATGGAGTCAGGCGACTATCTAACACTAACAGTAAGATCAAGAACCCTCATTTTGCCAGCCAATCGAAAATCTACTGGTGGAACATCAGTTGGCAAGAGTACAACACGGTGATCTTCTTTACCTCTTTTTTCTAGTTTCTTTACTCCTTTCTGCCATTTTCAACACATCAAAAGCCTCCACCAGCTTTGTTATTTTTTAACTGGTTCATTTCTTCATAGAGCGTGTCTGCCACATTGCTAAAAAAGATGAGCGAGAAGGAGTCAGAGTGTTTCTTCAGTGTCGGCTCACAGAAGTACAAGGTGGACTTCACTACCATGATCCAGACCAACGTCGCCACAGGGTTCCAGAGAGGCGTTCGCTGCAGACCCGCCTACCGCTCTCTGGATTCTATGAAACCTTACTTGCAGTTGGTGTCCTGAGATGCGTTTTTTTTTTTGCATTTGTTTACATCTTCTTTTAAAATCAAGAGATTCTGTTCTTTTAAAATTATTTCATGATGTTCTCCCATCCCTTTCCCATTTACTCCCCACACCCAGGACAGGAGTCCTGCCTGACTCAGCGGAACCTGACAGTAATCCTCCTGAGGCCAACTTTAGTGTAGATCCTCTGGACGAGTTCAGTTCCTGGTACCCTCCGGCGTGGTGTTGGGCTTCAGAGCAGGATTACAGTCTAGTGGATGTTCCTACAGGCACTCTGGCCTATAAACGGGTTCAAGAATTCTTCAATGAGAGCATGCCTGAGACAAAGGTGGACATCATCAGCATCCAGCAGGTCCAGAACCTATTCCACTGGGACAAGTACCAAAGGTCCAGCTAAGTTTGAGTTCAATTTTTAATCATGACTAAAACTAAGAAAAATTGGAGGGAAATTTGATGTCCTTATTAACTGTTTGGATATTCGGAAAGTCCTTTTTCTAAACGTCATTTATTGGATGAAATACATTTGTAACATGGATAAGCATTGGTTCGGCTAGTAGTAGGATCTGGGCTCGTTTCCTCCTGTTTTCATCCATTGTTTACTTTACTAGACAGTTCTATGGGTTCCTTACAGCGGATTCAAATAATTATTTTGTTGGAAGTTAAATCTTGTTCTTGTTCATGGTGATATGCATGCCACACTTACACAACTCGTTCCAGGCAAAAGCTATACATGCAGAAGCAGCGTGGAAAGGCCACCGGGAGTTTAGAGCGACATCTCTTCCATGGGACCACCAAAGAGGCCTCAGAGGAGATCTGCACCAGCAACTTTGACCCTCGAGTGGCCGGGGTTAACGGAGTTTCCCACGGTCATGGCACATACTTTGCCACCGCTGCCTCCCACTCCCACATGTTCTCAGCCCAGTTCGGGCCAGATGAAGTTTGCCACATGTTCCTTGCCAAAGTCCTGGTGGGAAAGGTAACTGTGGGTAGGAGCCACTACCGCCGTCCACCTAAGCTCACCTCCAGGAAGAAGCAGCATCGTCTGTATGATGCCTGTGTTGACAACGTGAACCTTCCCACCATGTTTGTTGTTTTTGACAGCTGTCAGTGCTACCCCTACTACCTAATCAAATATAAAAACCTACCCAAAGAGATAGACATTTAATGAGGATGAGGACAGGGGCCTCAGCCGCTAATTGTTCAACAGAAATCATGTTCCAGTTGCAAGAAAACCTAAAATGTTAACAAATCCAGTATATATTGTTATCAAATGCTCCGTTTAGTTTGATAAAATATGCCATATTCAGTTTGTTTGCAATGAAGTTCTTGACAATAGTGAAGACAGTGTTAAAATGACAACATATTCTGTATCACTTAATTTTTCAAAATGCCTTTATTTTTGTTATTTGAAGATTTTACAATAAACACTTTTTTCCTTTTTTTCTCTCAAATCTGTTCAATGAAATTCATTTCTGTAATGTTTATGAAATTAAACACTAAATGCATTCACCTCAGTATAAGAAAAGAAAAGCATGTTTGATCAACTGCTGGTATGTTTTCATACAGCCAAATGAGCTGACTGTTTGTTCCAAAGGTCAGACTGGAACGTGTTTCATCAAAGACTTCTTTAGTAAAAGTATATACAGAATATTTTTCTTCAGAACTTAATTGCACACTTCCTTGAACAGGAAACAACAGGGAAATTCTAATAATTTAGCTTATGCATGAAAAATCATGGCTCTTTGAAGGATCCAGATCAAATTGTTTTAAAAGTATCTGACACTGCTGGCCATAAAAAAAAAATCCCAGTTCAGTCCATCTAAGAACAAACTCTGCATTGAACAGATAACACGTTCGGGACAGTGATGAACCAAAACACCACATTAAATCCCTGCCAATGAAAATAATAACCCCCCCTTATCAAATTTGTTTAAAAAGGGAGAAAAATAAGAGTTGAAGTGATGTTTAACTTCCAAATAGTATTGTAAAATTCCATATCTTGAAATGTCATTGAATAATTTAAGACTGTAAGAACGGCTCAAATAAGATGATAATCCAACTAGCCAAGACAAAATCACAGTCACAAGATAAAAAAAAAAAATTCACAAAACCCCCACCTTTCACACAAGGATGTTAGAGTGATAACCACAATGAAAAAATATCAGAATTAGCTATTGATAAAAGGCAGATTAAAACATACGTTATATGATTTAAGATGTAAACAAGGATTAAAAAAAGTTAAACTAGTGTTGAGGCTGTGATGCCAGTTCCTTAAATAAAGTACAGCAACTGTGCGTTTCTGTTCTGGCAACATCTAAAGTTGGGCCTGCAGGTGGTGCCAGAGGAAAGGCCATCATGTTACATAGTTCAAAATGGTTTACAGTATGAATTGTAGATGACAGTTATTTTTTAAGCTAAAAAACTTAGTGGAATGAAAATATAAAAGGCAACAAAAATATGTGAAGAATAAACATTTCACATATCTTCAAACAGGTTCATAAATATCAGATCAGTTCTTTTTGCACTTGGTGTCTAATAAGAGCACCTGTCTCCAGCACAGATTATTCATTTGCATTTCCCTTTTAGTCTCTACACACGTGTACATATACACATAAACTGTACACAGGTTAGCAGACGTTTAACCAACCCTGATACGACAGACATGACATGTGGGTGGGGGGGACACGCAAAAACTGAGTTCCTGGAATTTACCGGCAGAGCACCAGCACCTATTCACAGGCCAGCTTGCTGTCGAAGCTCGACAGGCCAATGGCAAACGCCTGAAGAGCGCACATGGGATAGTTGTAGTCCAGAGTGAAGACGTCTTCAGCAACTCTACCAAACTGCATAACAATGTAGTCGGCTAGAGATAGAGGGGGGTAAAAATAAAAAAGGTCGATCAGTGTGTTTATGGTGTATGTTTTAAATATTTCAAGACATTCTGCAACATCCTATAAGCAGCCAAATTATTTAAACTACTTAAACATAACTGAGATTAAAGATACTCACGGTCATTATCGTGAACTATCTGGAAGTTTTTGACTGATGCCTGAGTCACACGGCCATGGAAATTTAGCACATAAGACTGGGTGTCATCGTTCCACACGGGTGCCTTGTTGTGCAGCTCGATCAGATTTTCAAGCGAATGGTTTTGCCACCTGCTCAGGAGACTCTCCTGCTCCTATCATACAAATACATCCGATTTCAGTCTTTAATCTTATTAGGAATGAATCAAACTACACATTAAACTCACACACCAGGACTTTTGGACTTTTGCATTCTAACAGCATTTGTGAAATGTTAGACTGCTAAAGCTAAACAGCTTTGGATTCAAATTAATCTTTTAGTCATTTTATACATGAAGCATTCGGACAACACGTTGCACATTTAAGGGCAAATTCTTTGAGTTGTTAAGCTTTGCATAATTCTGTTACTGACAGACTCACATTTTGGGGCCTTACAGGGAGCCTCTCAAAGTTCATGTTCATGCCAGGGATGATTACAGTCATTTTGCGTGGTCCTTTGAATCCCAGCACATTGGTTTCCTGCCAAAAAACACAGAGAGTGTGACAATTTTACTAAATATATTTAATGAACAGGCAACACACTAAACACACTGCTAGCCTTTTGTCATTCACTCACATAGCAGATGGCAGCCAGTTCCTGTCGTGTGTTGCTTTCTTCCAGCAGAGCCCCGGGGTTTTTACACGGATTGGTCCCGTTGTCGTACACTGTGAATTTAGTGCCCATGAGGTTGGATCTGATAGAAAACAAACCGGTCATGAAATGTTTACACCTTTTCATATTTTTCAGATGCTGGCAGCATTTTGTTTCACATTTGAGTCATGTGGATTGGCAGAAAGCAACACACTGTTTATTTTCTAAATATCAAGAAAACAGCAACTATTGGATGCTGCAGTTTATTCTAACTGTTAGCAAGCAGAAAATCTTTGGAATCACATTGAATGTTATATTGAAAAAAAGAGGCAAAAGTGAGAGGCTACAATGTAATCCCACAGGTCAACTGTCCAGACCAAAGTGAATGTCGTTGTCTTTGCCACTGATGGGCTCAGACTGTCAACATTATGAAAAGGATCCCTACAGAGATGTGTATCTCACATCAAGAAGAAGTCTCGCTCTGAAATCTCACCGGAGGTGAGGTGTTGCTGGAAGAAAAAAGTGTGAACGTGAGTGAGAGTTGGAGGAAGCCAGGCACGGAAGAGAAGAGAAGCTTCCTGTTCAGTAGTTCACGGTTTGTGATTGAATTTCTGAAATCAGGCAATGGTCTGCTACACTTTACTTTATTTTTGCCAGGCACACACTGGTGACCAGTTGAGCTACAAATGGATGGACAGATGAAATGTTTTCACTGCCTATTTTGACTGGAATCAATATTACCAATCAAATAGAAAAATGAATCACTTATAAGAGCTGCCGGATACAGAATGCAGGTAATGCTATTAATTAAAGGTATTTTGTTCACATGGTATCAGTTGACATTAAAACAATAAATATAATTAAAGGTGTGCAATCAGCAAATAATACCTTATTAATGCAGGTCTCTGTGGACACAGGGAGGGTGGATTTACCTGAGTTTACCTATAAAGCTCTCTCCCTCTCGTGACAGGTCGGTAGCATCCACTGAAATAAGGTAGTTGGATGTCTTACTCTTCTTCCTCTTTCTTCCTGCCAGCAGAAACACCTGGAACGACACAATAAAGCAGACACATGTATCTAATGAAGGCTTTTGTTTATAAATGTTACATTGTACAACAAAAATGATGATTCTTATTCACAACTTTAATGGCCCACGCATGTATCGCACCTTCTTGCAATCCTCTTTCTCCATGTGCATGTAGTAAGTGGGGTAGAGGCCGCGGTCCATACCCTTCTTGTCACGGGTGATTCGGCATTTGACTGTGACGCCACGTGGTGCTGGGCGTAAGACAAACTCCTCCAGATTCGCCACATCGGCTAGTAAGTTTTCCGCTGTGGGTGATCCTGGGGTAACCAGATCCTGGGACAAATTAATATAGTCAGCTACTTTTAAAAGAAAAAAGAAAAAAAAGAAGCATTTTAGATAATAGTGAGTATATGAACTAGTGTGCGTAGGCTTTACAGGAATGTCCTTGCCACTAGTAGCTGAGGCAGGCCTGTTGCTGTCTGTGTGAGAGGACCGAGAACGGGTCCGTTCTTCCTCCAAGTCTTCCTCGTGCTCACTGGCTTCATCAAAGTTCATGCTTTCGCAGAGACCTGGTGAGAGACGTGGGAGTGTGGTGTGAGGGAGCTTTAATTACACACGAAGGTCTTTACAAATTCTCCAGCTGAGAAACCCATTCATACAAAAACAAAAGAGGAAAATGAAACCCAGATGCTCTGCGTACATTCTCCACAACAAAAGAACCTCAGTCATTATTTCGTTCCAGGGGTTCCTTCAGTTTTGGTTCAAAACGCTCCACAGAAGATTTTACCAGTTTTTTGGGTTCATCTGCGGTCTTTGATATATGAGAAAAAATTCCCAAGAAGTGATGCAATACTTAGGAAATAGTTGAAGCAAAAAATAGAGCATTATACAGCTGAAAGCACATCCTTTCATATTTATCTGAAACATTCAGGGGGAGGGGGATTTCTTTTACATCAGCTGTTGAAACCATGACAAATGAAATGAAAGGATGAAGACTTGTGAAAGTGAATATCAAAAAGAATGTGATTATTTAGCATTGATTCTTATTTATTCAACCAAAAGGCCACTTCTCTGGCCTAAAGAGTACTTTTCCATGTCAGTTACTGGAAGGCTCATATTTATGACAATAAATGAAGCTGATGTGCAGCTACTTGTGCAGAGACAGCTCCATGCAGTCATGCAGACATAAACTGGGGCTTGCACAGTGCAGACAGTCGGGACTGTCTATCTGTCTCCTCACTGATAATTGGATTTATCAGCCAGGATGCAGCTCTTGGCTGCAGCTATATCCCACTGTAATGTGTTATCAAAGTGTAAACTCATATGAAAGCTGTGTGTTTTCACTACATTGAAGTATTATTTTTTATTAAAATCTAATTAAAATTGGACTTGTAAAAGAAATGCTTGACCAGAAATGGCAATAATGATACCAAGATTACTCTAAATTGTTATACTATACAGCTGGAGTCCTAAATACTGCAATCCAATCTACAGTTTGAAGTAAATGAAGAACTTTAGATTTTAAATCACAGCAATCAAACTGACTACTGTGAGGATATACTGCTGCAGGAAAATGTGGGTGAACAAGTGTGGTTCTGACCGACAAACCAAGGAACGCTGCTCATAGGTAGAGATCTGTCGAACACAAGTAGGCTTGCTTAAAATCGTACCCTGCTTTATCCTCATTTTTTTTGCATCTTAGCTGTTCCTTCATTCACAAAATGAACATCGTGTTATATTCAGTGAGACTTGGCGATTCAGAACATAAACCCATCAGTGATGTGTTTACAAATGCAACAGATGGAGGAGGTCAAGGCCAGTTTTCCCAATCAGACTTCAGGGAGTGACCAGACGAGTTCCTCCCTGCTGCCCATTAAAAGGAATGCAGAACCTTATTAAACAAATCCAATTTCACGTTAATAATATTCCTGCTTTTAAATACATGGGGGTTTCTTCTTTTGCATACAAAAAGCATTCTGTCCTCAAATATTTGTGCCTCCTCCTGACACTGATCAGTTAGACTAACATATCCTGGGCAAGTTCCAGCGTAAGAGAAAACATTAAGCTATGCAGCACTAAACCAGATGGATAATGTGACAGTAAAAACAGCAAAACACAACCCCTATTGTGCAGTATTAACAAGTGATGCGCCCCAAATATGCTGCTAATCCTGTGAAAAAGCAGGAAGCATCATGGAATACAGAATGCAAATGTTAGCTGCCCTCTAACAGTGACTCCAGGGCTCCAATTAAAAAACCCACACAAAGTTGTGTCAGCTACTGGCTTATGAAATCAACCATCTGGAAATGTCAAAGAGGCCTAACATTTGACTGAGCAAATCCAAAAAAGACATACAGCATTTCCAGATAATTATTATCACACGGCCAAGAAGGATATTAAATTCTACAGCGAGCCAAAAGTGAAGATGATTAAATATGAATGTATTTCAAAATGTCTATTTCTTCCATTTCCCAAGGCACCATGGTAATATGGAAGACAGGCAGCCAAAAATACCTGCTGGAGCTCTTTGGGGCAGGCTCGTCTGCTTAACTGAGCTAACATTAACAATGAGGTCTTACATTATTGAGAAGCACAATGACACTTTCTACTGCGTCACACTCAAGCCTTTAAAAAAGGTATGAAAAGTAACCCAGCTTCTGAGTTTCTCAGCAGGATTCAAATGAAATCTTAAAAAAAACAGTCATGTCTTGAGTTTGTGGGCACAAAGTGGTAACACACGAGCTACATTATGACACCTGCAGAACTGCATGATGTTGGTACTGTTTAAACGCATGCTAACCTTCATATAATGAGAAATTTGTTTTTGCTGCAGATGAATCTGAAAAGTGCAAAAGTCACTGTGAGCTTGATTTTTATACAATTTCCTGAAATTGTACATATTCCCATCAGCTGGTTGGCAGGTGTGGGTGGTAGTAGTTCTAATGATGCCACAAACAAACACTGCAGTGTGAACAATGCCCTTATCTATTATTTAGTGAACCAGTTCTCACTGCATTACCATCAATCATACCACTCACTCCACATGCAGCAGCAGAGTGCTATCAATTTGGTAGATGTCAAAAAGTCTGACTTTGTTTAACAGCAACTTCTTACCTGCAGTGTCATAAATACACATTTTTTCCTTTATAGGTAAAAACTGTAAAGCTGAGAAACGTAAGAAAACCCTGAGAGTAACCACAAGTAAATATCTGATGCTACTCTCTTCTAATAAAAAATCACCAGGGGACTCAACACACACACTAACAAAGTAAATAAGTAAGCAGGCAAACAATAGTTGTTCCATTTGACTTTACTGCAGGGTTCAGAAAAATGATTTTAAACCCAGGATCCAGTACAAATCACCTTGCTTCTGCAGCAGTTCATGGATATCTGTCTTGGGCTCCAGCAGCGTCTCAGTGTCTCCGTCCCTCTCAGGCTCTTCAGCAGCAGGGGACTGGGACTGAGACTGAGACTCAGGCTGGGACTGAGACTGGGACTGGCTCACTGACAGGATTTGAATTTTCATTCCTATATCAGGAGGTTCTGAGCTCAGGAAGGCTGCTGGGCCATCAATACCTACAACACAGGAGAAGGTGGCAGACAAGCATGAGCTGTTAATTTTCCCTTAACTGGGTCCAACCAAGCATATCTAATGAATCTACTAAGTGAATCTATTTATACACATTTCCAAATCCATATTTTTTATCTTGGATTCCAGTGTAGGTTTGCGTGATTTGCACTTTAGACTACGGTAATTCTTCTTTTTCTCATACTGGGCCTTGTTGCAAACAACTTAATTCTTGTGAGTGGATATTAGTGAATGTGGTTTTTTCTACTGTTTTCGACCATAAAAATGGTCTAAAACATGCCATTTAACAAAGAAAACATTTAAATGCATAGCAAGACCTCTTCTATTCATATAACTGCAATTAGTTTGAAGTTGGTACAGAAGCAACAAAAGGCTGGAAAAGTAAGTGGCACTAAAAATAACATGTGGAGGTCAACATGTCAGTAACATGACATAGTATAAAAGAGCATCTTAGAGAAGCAGCTTGTTCAGAAGTAAAAATGGGAAGAGGTACACATGTTCTTTAAAATATAATATAAAATTGTAAAGGCCCCAAATATCTCCTCTCATAATCAGATTTAGAGAATCCAGGGAAACATCTGTGTGCAAGAAACAAGGCAGAAAATCAAATACTAGATTGCCTAGAACACTAGAAAATCCTGAAAATGAAATAGGATTTATTGTGAACTGAACTAAAAAAATAGGGGGAAAAAACCCTTGACTGAAGTGTGGTTTGGTAGTTTAACCGTGCTGCTCTATGATGTGCCTAGCCTAAATTAAAAACAGTCAAATGCTGAACATTGTATACTTCCAACTGAAGTTACTTTTATGTAAAGAGGAAACAGTGTGTGACAATGCCTAGACTATGGGGATTTGATTAACATGCCTTTATGAATGACGTAAAAAATGCTGCACATGTTTTTTCTCACCATCTATTATGACATCATTGGTGACATTGAGTTGAGATTCGACTAGTGGGGCTTGCTCTTCACCACGCCGTGCCCTGAACGCCGGGGGCGAACCTCTGTGTTGGGCTGGACCATCAAATGTTGCTGACGTTTTTGCCGCTGCTTCTGCTCCAGCAGTGCCCTCTGTGGACCAAACAGGGGAACAGAAATGCTGTGTAACCTAATTCTAGGTACAAATATACGTGACTTTCAGGACATGCAACTGGAAAACTCACTTCATACATAATTAGCTGGCATGTATTAAATGATGGAGGTTGGGAAGATTAAGCCAAGCTGGAAAACATCAACACAACAAGCTATAGGTAATTACATTAGTATGGATGATGAGTTACAACCTGTGTCTCTCAGTAGGTGCTGCAAATGACCAGGACAATAACAGAAAAAGAAAAGAAAAGAAAGGAGCACTGGTCGTTGCGTTGCATAATGCTATTCTAATACTACAGGTTAGAAAAATTGGATTTCTACATGTGAGATTTTGTGCCATAAACAAGTATTGGACAAACAAAAGCTTTGATTTTCTAAAGGCTTATCTGGGAACCGTGGTTACCTGTACCAAAATGCACAGAAGTCCATCCAAGAACTCATTAAAGTATTTTAGTTATTTTTACTTTATCTTTGAAGAAAATATTCCAGTGGAGAGATAAAGCCATACAAGGTCAGCTTAGTGAGTCACACCATAATACAATACGCAGTCTTCAAAAGAAAGATAGCTACACACAGTCCAGACCTGTAAGGCAGCAGAACACATTTTGCTGAGCTACTAATCAGAACAGGAGGACATTTGACATGCAATAACAGATAAAGCAATTGTGCAAACCATTTCAAGGTATAGAAAGCTGTATGCACTACAAAACTATATGTAATGCAGTACACAACTCAGTTTCAGTAAGGGTAGAAAACTGATGTTCATGTTGTATTCACCCGCCCCACTGTGACCTGACTTAATACTGATGCCAAAAGGCAGACTAAATAAAAAATAAGCCCATAATAAAACACAACAACCAAAATAAAAAAAATAAAATAATGGGGGCTGTGAAAGCTTACAGTAATGTTCTGTAGTTTGGTGAACTGAAGAATGCCCAACGTAAGAACATAACAAGGGTCTGATAAAGTAATTAGCTGCTTCGAACATCATCACTGAGATGAGGTTTCTTTCGACTGATTACTCAGAACAGGTGTAACCTCTAGGTAGTGAAATTAGTCCACAATCATTTGCACTGTAGTTTCAGTAAGGATAGAAAACTGACTATGTTCATGTTGTATCCACTTGCCCTAAAACCCACTGTGGCCAGAGCAGGCGATGGATTATGCAAGCACATTAATTAGCGCACCAAATGCACAACAACAATTCCTGTTTAGTGTTCAGTCAGCTGGGAGAGACCGAGAAGCCTTGTCTCATATTTGGCAGACCAAACAGCTTTTTAGACTTCAGTCATTCTAACACTCGAGGAAATCATTTTCACTAGCCGTAATGTTTTTCTTTTTTTGTTTTTTGTTTTTAAAAAGAGAAAATTGAATCTTCTTATCCTACAGTGAACATGAAAAACATCCAAAAAGCAAACTTTAAGAAAGAATTGGTACTGGAAGCATTTGTTTTTTTACTCTTTCGCATATGAAAAATCCAAGAGCTGGACCCAGTCGTTATCATTTCAAAGAAAGAGCAGATCTGTGTTCTCCCTTTATTGCTATACATAAAAGGAGACAAATGAATAAAACATAATGCAACATTATCATAATGAACATAATTAGGTCTAGTGTAACGAATGAAAGTGGGAATGCTACCAGATTTCACATTGCACAATAATTCCTCTTCATTAAGATACTGACTACCGATTTGAGGCAAACCACAGCTTTAACTTCAAAAGTTGCTGCACATGTACTCCCAGCCTAAGATTAATCTGAGCAGTTTGTTTTGTCTTCCATCGAGCTATTTTAAGCCAACCCATTGTAATATTCAATTCTTTTGTATAGCGTGAGTACTTGGCATTTTCAACACAGGATGTGACTTCATTCAGGTTTTCACAATCCTTCCTATGTGACCCAAAACACCGGAAAGAACCGAGCAAAGAACGTGGGTTAAAAGACAGTGATTTAGATATAATGTACATTTATATTTACATGATGAAAAGAGGCCATGCAAACCCTCTACTGAAAAGAGAAGTTGAAGTACTGTTAGGGAGAGATAACTAGATTTTTTTTCTCTCACTGGCAGTACTGATTAAAAAACTTTGAGTCTACGTAAGCAACAGCCTCACACCTGCGTCTCACAAACAAGTCCTGATCTAAAAGACAAATAAACTAGAAAATGCATCAGAAAAAGAAAAAGAAGAAGTTACAAACCCGTTCCATTGATATTAAAAGTTAACAAGTTTTCTAAAGAATAAAGAAGATTCCACTTCTCTTTAAGTCAGATGACGATGTGTTCTCCCCCTAAAAGAAGCACTCCTGGTGGGCATGACTCTGTCGCCATGTCCTTATTTCCTCTTCTGGAGCTCAGTTTAAGAGTCAGTAAACTGTCAACCTGTTCCACTCCACTATGTGCTCCTCTAACACAAGCCAAATACCAAGCTTGTGTGTGTCTGTACGCGGGTGTGTGTATGTGTGTCTGTATGTACAGGCAGTCACCGTTGCTAACTGAATCAGCAATCATTAGTGCTCGAGCAGGAGAGAGATAGGGTGAGCGAGAGAGCACAGAAAGAAAGGAAAGAGAGAGCGAGACAGAAAAGAGAGGGGGGGGGGGGGGGGCTGGGAGGTGTACAGCTTCTTCAGTGCTCTTCACTTTCATCATATAAATACATATAAAATGTAATTATGATTTAATTTTTCAAAGCTGATCTCTTCTGTGTATGTTTGTTTGTTCTTGTGAGTTATCTAAGAGCATAGAGAGAGAGAGGGAGAGAGTGTGTGTTTGAACTCAGCTGAAAGCGTGCAGCACAAGTCAGCCACAATGAGACCTTGAAACACACACACACACACAAACACGCACACAGCCAGGCGCCTCACAATAAATCCGCCTCTCTCTTTGAAGTCACCAATCTGAGCCCCCTACCCTTCTCCCCTGTTTTCCTTCTGCCTAATGTGAGATACTGGAGTAAGGCTTCCAGCTTAAAGCGCTACACCACAGCTCTACAGCAAGGTTTCAGAAGATCACTCTGCATGCAGGAACATTAACTTTTAACTGTCTTACCATGTAACCCATAATGAACACTCCCCCCTCCACCCACCCACCACCATTACCACACACACAATTTGACTAACTGTCTGCTAATATAAGTCTGTGCATTGGGAGTAAATGCTTATCGGTCTCTCATTTTAGTCATTGCATACACAAATTAAATGTCAATTGAATACTACATTTAGAAAAACAATTTGCATCTTCAAAACAATATCTAGTTGTATTATAGATGTCTATTAAAATCTCTCATTCAAACTGTGCTTTTTTTTTTTAAACGTGAAAACTATGCATTTCAAAGCAATTTAGACATAAATTTGAACATCCGTGAATCTGTGGTTTAGTGGTTCATTAGGGAAGGATAGAGGTGTCACAGTTTCATGACCCAGCATTATAACAGTAAAGCCAAAAAACAGAGGAGGTTTTCAGTCCAACAACATTATTTAATAAAATGTATTTTGCTTTAACCATTCTTGCCAACCATAAGGAGCCCGTGGTGACCAGAGCAGAACACAAGCCAGGCCCCTTAATTACCCTGCAAAATCTTACCAGATGTTTAGAAAAGCACCAGAGGTTAACCCTCAAACTAAAATCTATGTGTGAGTTGAACTTCTGCATTAGACTCATTTGAGGACATGATCTTCAACAGATGCTCTTTGAAAGTGCAATTACAAAAGAGCAGAAATGCCACAAATTTTGAGAAATAGAACATCAAAAGCAGGATCTTTGAAAACCTGTGCTGTTCAGTTGTAGAAAATGTTTTGTTTCCCACCTGTTTTTCCAGCTTCTGTTGCATAAGACTGCTGCTGTCATTTTCAACACCACTGCAGAGAAAAGGAGAAGCAATATAAAGACACATTTTTTCAACAAAAATTGCATTTTCTTATCTAGCCAGTAGAGGGCATTACTACAGTTGGACTGATAGCTTTCTCTAATGAATTACAGATACTTTAGTAATTTTAGTGAAAGACAGCACATCTAAAATCTTAAGCACCCATCTTGAAAAGAGTAGCGTTGAAAACTAACTCCAAGGGAGAGGGACAAAGGGAAAAACACTGATCTTCTACTTACTGTTGAAACATGACATGACTCACTCTCTAATTATGCATGTGTCTTGTTTAGTTTTTTTTTTTTTTTTTTTTAAGAAACAGAGAGGGAAGAAGAAAAAGAAACAACACAATGCTCTAGCTGAGAGAAGCCCTTACAGTGTGGGGCCTGTGGGCATTTACCTTGGACACCTATCTGAAGGGACCAGGCAAATGTTGCTAAGCTACAGTGAAGAGAGAGCAGCAGTTGGCTTTCTCAAGTCGGAGTCAGAGACCTACGACAGCACCACTATCTCACCATCAAACACACACCCAAAACCAATAATGTGATGTAATGTGTGACTCCCATCCTCATGAACTTGAATGTTTCCTGTCGAGTAAATCTTTAAATATCTCATGCTCTGCTTGGCAGAAATGAGCCACATAAGCTCATCAGATATCCAAAAAGCTTATCCTGACTCTCTGTTACACCTCTTTTAGTCACTCTCACATCCTTTACACATTTATGAGTTGATTGTAAATGAGGACACATGCTGCTTATGAATCTCAAGCCCAATGTTGGCTGACATCATAGTGCATGAAATCCATTTAGGAGACTTTAATACGTCTTACTACTAACACATCATATGTTCCCAAACAGCCAGCAAGAATAGTACCTTGCTACATAGTGTCAAAATTAGTCATCTTGCCCAAGTGTGTCATATTATCACGAATGAATCAAAGGGCTCCACAGCAGGTTATTATGGCAACTGAGCACAGGTTGTGGTGATAGAGAGGAGAGCTGGAGAATGGGAGATGATTTTAGTTTTTAATTTCCCAAGTCATTTCTTCAAATGAACTAACAGTGGGACCTGGGACACGTTGTTAATTAGTCATCCTAAAGAGGCTTTTACCAAAGAGCCTCAGATTTACAAATTCTCCACCTAATGTAACCGTACCCAAGGATCAAAGTATGGCATAAACAGCTCTAATTAAAATGTTTACCGTTCACTGAACTTTTCCATTAATAATGTTGTTTCCATGCTACAAGGCACTATCTGGTTAATTGCTAAAGACACTCTCTACAGCAGCTCAGTTTTCCTAATAGTTCCTTAAAACACATTTTTTTCCATTGGTACAGTCTAATACCCCTAAAGTAATTTGGCAGAATAGTGTGTGCCTAAGAGCCTAATGCACTGCTTGAACACATTAGAACATGACTGCTCTGATAAAGGCAGTAGCAAGAGATTAAAACATTTTTTGTAGCCAAGAGAGAAATCATAAGTAGTAAAGAGAGTTAATTCAGTTTTACAATAGACACCTCAAGGCACTTTATCCATTAAGGTAAAGACTGAACCTACAACCTAACAATCAGATGAACCCCTATGAGCTGGCATATCAGTGGAAAGAAAAAAATTATTTTTAAAAGGGACAGATCTCCAGCAGAACTAGAGACAGGAAAGGGTAGCTATCTCCCCTTCTAGTGCCTGTTAGTTCTCTCGCTGTGGTGTTTTAAGAACAGCTGAAGGCTTTCACAGAGCTTTTTGAATTATATAAAATAAATGAAATTCAATTTAATTTATACAGCGCCAAATCACAACAACAGTCGCCTCAAGGTGCTTTATATTGTAAGGTAGACCCTACTATAATACATACAGAGAAAATAATCATATGACCCCCTATGAGCAAGCACTTTGGCGACAGTGGGAAGGAAAAACTCCCTTTTAACAGGAAGAAACCTCCGGCAGAACCAGGCTCAGGGAGGGGCGGCCATCTGCTGCGACCGGTTGGGGTGAGAGCAGGAACCCAGGCTAAAAGACATGCTATGGAAGAGATATAGAGATAATAACAATAATCCAACAAGTCCAGAGAGGTCCATTAACACATTGAGTGAGAAAGGTGACTGAAGAAGAAACACTCAATGCATCATGGGAACCCCCCAGCAGCCTACACCTATTGCAGCATAACTAAGGGAGGATTCAGGGTCACCTGATCCAGCCCTAACTAAGTGCTTTAGCAAAAAGGAAAGTTTTAAGCCTAATCTTAGCAACTTAAATCAGAATTCAGTTTGTGTATCTAGAAGGTGACCCATCGGAAATGGTAATTCTATGAATGAATGTGTTTGTCTGGCAAGGTGACCCCTCCAGTCAATCAGTGAGGACCTGTGGACTCTTGTTTGCTCCATGCTTATAGACATTACAGCTGTCTTTATGTCTAAATCTGTTTGGGGCTTATGGTAGCCTAGTGGATGAAAGCAGTGTGAGTTTATAGCATAAGCTTAGATAAACGTGTCCATCCTTCAACTTCTGACTGTGTTGTTGACCAGGGTGATATTAATGATATCACTGATTACTGTTATATGTTATTATTTTTGCACTTACAGTCTCTGTGTATGCCTATTGGAGACGGGGAGGGAGAGAATGTTGAGAAGCTGAGTTTGCTCTAGTACAAAGCAACGGGTATCTTGGGGCCTGTCACAGAGTAGATACACCTGTGATCACAGTGGCTACTGTATTTTACTATTAGTGTCTGTCTCCCAAATCCAAACTGAGAGCTGGTTCCATAGAAGAGGGGCCTGAAAACTTAAGGCTCTGCCTCCCATTCTCGTTTTAAATTCTCTAAGAACAACAAGTACGCCTGCATATAAAGAGTTTTAATATTCTAGCCCCTAAATAACAAATATAGCAAAAAACAAACATAACAAATATACCCTTTAAATCACATTTATGATTCACTTTAAGAAATGCAAACCAAGTGAAAGACTTCCATATTTTTTAATATTTTGGGGGCATTTCCTTAGTCTATATTGGACAGGGACAGGTAAGCATACAGATGAAAGTAGGAAGAGCGCAAAAGGGAATGACACACAGGAAAGGGTCCACACCGGAATCAAACCTAGGCCCCTCACACAAGAAGATCATTCTTTAATTGATGGCTGTCTGAAATATAACAGTTCTGCACTAAGGTTTTAAGTGCATTATTCAGTTTGTCATTTTCAGGTACTGCAACTGGAGTTAAAATTTTTTGGAGTGTGTAGGTGCATACCTGGCTGTTGTGTTAGACGAGAAGCTGGCAGAACTGGAAGGTCTTTGGGAAAAAACCATACCGCCAGACGCATGGGGCATATGGAAAATAAACAAAAGAGTGAAACAAGTTTAGAGACAACACCAAATAGGAAAACCATAATGTCAATGTCATAACGATGTAGTGGCTCATCTGGCTCACGATTCATCACGATTCAGGGGTTCATATAATGTGTGAAGAACAGAAAGAAAGTAAAATGTTTCCTTGTCACTGGTTGGCTGTTTGAGAATAAATATTCACTGAGAAGCCAAGGACACTCGCAAACAGTCAAATCCAGGACGAAATCTCGCTCACACTGAAATGAATGAATTCTTTTTTAGAAACTGTAAGAAATGTACTTAAAAGTTATGCTATGAAAACAGGAAAAAGCAAAAGTGCTCATATAATGACAAATGTGACTTTGACCTTGAGGACAGTTTGGATGAAAATCCATCACTGTGTGCAACTTCGATTAAATTCTGACTGATATTGTAGGAGGAACAATGATTCTTGAATTGTGGATAGACACTTGGATGGAAGGGCATACAAGCCTATTATTTTAGGGCAGGGGTATCAAATATAAGGCCCAGGGGAGCAAATCAGCTCATCAAAGACCAATCCAGCCCTCCGGACTACTTTGGAAAATGTGAAGGAGGCACTTGATGTTAAATGCGACTGTTGTTGTGATTTGGCACTATATAAATAAAATTGAATTGAATTGAAATGAGTTTGACATCCCTGTTTTCGGGTCTATACTTTACAATTTATAGTGCCTTGAGGTGACCGTTGTTGTGACTTGGTACTATATAAATAAAACTGAATTGAAATTCAATTGAACTGAATTTGATGTTAAGTGGGCCAAACCAAAAATACTCCCTTTTGTGTCAGTAGAAAGAAATTAAGCTGTCCATCTAATCCCAATTAATAGAAGAAAAAGAAGTGCAACTTCAAAGGTATGTCTCAGTTTTTCAATATGATAATGAGATGCTACTGCTAAAGATAATAACATCAAATAAATCTTCCAGAATGAATAAATACAGTTGTAAAATGACAGAAAAGGTTCTGCTGGCTCAAAAATACCCAAACTCTCCTGTCTCTTTATGTTCTTGGTAAATATGGACATGTGCATACACACAAACACAGTTACATGGTGCCTCATCACAGCAGTAAGCGATCGCCTCTTCATTAGTCCGTCACAGCTTTGGTGACAAGAGAAGGACGCGCCACTGTTGTCCCTTCCTTGTGTGTCAGTCCAAGGTAACCATGGAGATTCTTGCTCTGTCAACAGCACACTTCCACCAGCATTGATTAAAAACCTGCAGTGTGTTCTTGAGCCTCACTGTAATTGGAGGACTTTAGCACTCTGCTGTAAAGATTCACAGACTGACAAAGGGAGGAGCCTACCAAAGCACGTAATTGCAGCTGAGCTGTGCAAAATTTAAGTACTTATGCCTCTGATAAATTCTTTGTAGGAAATATATAAATAAGTTGCACAATGTTGATGTTTTAAATAATTGAAAGCTATTAATTTAACTGTGATAACTGTCCATAACTCTGCTGCTGGTTCAGGATATAAAAAAAAGGAAAAGCTGACCAGAAATGTTTGGTATTAAACCCACAAGAGTATTATCAGACCATGATCTGTTTTGTGTGTTGTTCATTTTAATTAAAAGCTTTCCACTCTGCCACTTTAAATGTTAATTTGAAAGTTGGATGAGTGTGACTTAATTCAGGCAATTCAGCTTTGAACTTAAGAGAGGGTACTCCATAAAATGAGGGCTGATAATGGTTTAATGCTTAATTCTAGTAAAACATACCCCAAAAATATCCATCCATCCATTCATCCACTTGCTCTTGCACCAGTTTATAATCAGGAAGAACTAAAATTGATACATGCATAGAAGCAGGTGCCTCAGACATTAGCACTATTACCTCACAGCAAGGTTGTCCTGGGTTATCGAGAGCTACGGTTTCTCTGGCCATGCAAAACATATTAGGTTCATACAACTTTTTGTTCATACATTTTACAAGATTGTCAAACTAGACTCTCTGATCGATAAAGCATAATAAACATATTAAGGTTAAATATAATTTACCCGTGTCCTTCTTGTTTTTCACTAAAAACACGACTGATTGTATTTAACATTAATATCTGAGCAACAGAAAAAGCACCTGCAGAAATGCAGCAACTAAATACTAAATCATACTAAATACTAAAATCAATGCTAATAATTAGAGCTGACTCATTTTAAGACTGATATCAATACCAATATTTGGTGACCGAAAAATCCAATATTCTAATATATATTTTTCTTTGAGACACACAAAGCAGTTCCCAAATATTTGTAAGTTTGGTTGTTTATTTATTTTTTATTTATTTAGTTTATGCTCTGAATGAGTCTTCCAGGATCAGCTGTTTCCAAAAGCATTTATTGCCAAAAGGGAAGTTGTACAGTGCCTTCTGGTGGACAAACTCTGGAACATCAACACTTATACCATGGTTCAAACGTGTTTTTTCCCTCTCTCTTCTTTACGTTTTTAATTTTCATTTATCGGACATTTTAAATGCAGATACCGACAGATCAGCAAATAGCTAATATTGAATAATATTATCAGCCCTGGTTGGGCTCTAACAATAATAATGGCTTTTTGAAAATTTCTAACTATAGTTATTTTTGCCAGCGACTATTTTGGATATCAGTGAGTGATTACCTGTCATAGAGCAAAACTTTTTCTATATATATTATGAGCATCTCTGAATACTATCAGGGAGGAATCCCCTTCAATTGGTTTTCAGGACTCGAATTTGAAATGGAATAATGATAACTCAAAGCTACAGAATCTTGGAATGATAACTAAACAAGAAGCAAAGAGTAGATGTTCAGATGTATTATGATTACAGCCTTCTCAGATCAATTTCAAAATCAAAGGAATTAAAGATTAGTAAATTCAAATTAAATCTCTAATCTCAATCACCACAGCCTCAAAACTGAGAATATGGTTTATGTAGACTCCTTAAAACAGACTAGAAACTGATGAGTATTTATAAAATAAAATGCTAAGAGGAAACATTTAACTGGATGAATACCCCAAGCACATCCTTACTTACATGGATGTGCTTGAATTAACCTACCAAGAGCAGACACTAACACACACACACTCAAAACGGGCTGGACACACACGCAAGTTACCAACTCTGGTTACAGCACACAGTCACAGCCTGATGCTCTGAATAAGTAACGACATGGTGGCAGAAACATGAGCGAGAAGAACATTGAGTCATTCAGCGACCTGAAGAAAGATAGTAATGCTGACCTCAATCCTAACACGGGCAACTCTGTAATTCCTTATTTCTAAAAAGACTATCCTGCTAGGAGAATTAAAGCAAAAGTTTCTTTAACTGCATCTGTTTTAATGCAGGAGGCAGCTGTCTTGCTTAAAGAAAGAAACCACAAGTCTTAAAGAGCACACAAGAATGTATATTCTGAAAAAAACTCTACTACTGAGATCAAAACATACTGCATGTACGCGTGCCATTATGTGCAACTACCTGTATGACCAGCGACTGTAGGCAGGCTGAGATCCCTCGGTCTTTACAGTGTCCATGGATGCAGCTTCAGGAATGCCAGTCCAAATGTCTCTTATCTATAACAAAAATCTTCATTTACACTCGGGGTCTTACTTACTGCTCAGTTCTACCCATTTGTAAGCCTACAGAGTCCAAGATCTCTGCTAGTGTGTCACTGAGAAAGAGTAGATGTCCCACCCATGGGAGTGACAGCTACCACTGCTGAGGTACTCTGAGGTTGTGAGGCTTAGTGCTGTTACCATGACTTCACACTTGAGGCAATGCGCAAGGATCCAGCTAGGGATAGGTATGGAAGTGACAGTTTTGAATGTCAGAGTACTGCAAAAGATCAGGCAGAGACAGAACTGAAAACATATAGTCTGAAAGAGCACTAGGGTAAGTTGTTTTAGCCTGATTATATTTTAGATATAAAGTCACTCTTTAAAGGTTGCTATCACTAAGTTCCCATAATACCATCCACTAACTACTGAGAAAGTCAGCACTTGTATTTGGCTCATTTTCTCTGACTCATAGGGGGGCCACTGCACGTATAGTATGAAACCAGACTGCAATTCTGAGCTATGCAACAGTGAGACTGTGTTGAGCCTTAAATAGTCCAAATCTTGTCAAAACTAATTCCCAAACTACCTTCCTGGATCACTCTAAGATTACATTTTTCATTGTGGAACTGAGAAGCATACACAATTTTAAGAAAGTTATCTGAATAAAATTAAACCTGTAGATTACAACATCTAAAAACAGATACAGTGGGAGGACCTTTGTGTGGTTGCTAGGCGACCAGAAGCTGACATTTGTTTTTCCTGAGGCTATTTGGAAGAGAGAGACAAAATAAAAATCAGACAGAAAATGAGGCATGTATTGTGTATGTTTGTTCTTAGAGAGAGAGCAGTAAACTCGCAAATACGTTAACTCATGATAAGCAGGGGAATCATTCACCCGTGGGAGTAATTATTGAAGTCAAAACAAATAATGGAAATAAGCTACCCTTGGGATGCCAAGTGACACAGTCCCCTTTTGACTCTTTCACAATTATGTTTTACTTTATTTAGGCAACAAACAAAAAAAAGCAAACTCATGTCCATTAGCGCTAATTCTTCATAATTAACAAAGAATGACGAATACAGATATATTTATTAATTTAGTTGACTGCTTGCAGTGCTGTACTATTCAACAACAAAAAAGCGTATAGCTTACAAAAACCAGAAATGCTACTTTAGTCTCTAAATGCATGAGAAACCGAGTGGAGCTGGGCCATTTGGAATTCACTGGACAGCCACAGTAAATCACAACTGGACCACAAGTCGTTCTTGCAGTTGCAGAGGTTAACCGCTATCCTTGTAGAGAATTTTTTTAATTGATTGATTTATAACAATGTTCAACTAAGATGGCGTACTAACTTCAATATCACCCCAACTGCTCGTGCAGAACTGCACACATTATATGATGCAGGCAGCAGGTTGGAAAGGAAATGTTTCAAAGGAATTTATGCATTCCTGGGAGCATTACTGGAAGCAGTAATATTGTAATTGTATATAGCATGTTGCGTGCTCAGTTACAGTAGAAAAGTATTATATAAGAACACATCCATAATAATCATCAGCAAGTTTGACTATAAAAGCAGAGGTTTTAGCAGTTTGCTGGTCTGGAGCATTCAGGTGTGTGTTAACACAATATTGCAATTTTTCCAGGAGTGGATATCCTACCAATTTCACCATATGCTCAGAGAAACTGCAAAGATCCCAAGTTCCAATATAATTAGAAAAAGACTAAACAACTCTGGGTTGTTTGGACAGATTACACAGAAGAAAGCCTCTTTTCTCTAAAATGAAGATGGCAACATGGTTAAGGTTTGCAAAGTGGCATCTGAACAAACCACAAAACTTCTGGAACAATGAATAGACGAGACCGAAGCACAGATGTCTGGCCATAACGCAGTGAAAGCCAAACACAAAACACCTCATACCAACTGTCATACCAACTGACAGTGATGATTTGGGCTTGTTTTGTTGCCACCTGGACACCTTAGAGTCACTGAATCAACCATGAGCTCCTCTATATTTTAGAGTGAAATCTGAGGCCATCTGCCTGATAGTTAACCATGTCTAAAACTGAGTATTGCAACAGAACAATGGTCTTAAGCACAGCAACAAAAACTACAACAGAATCACTGACAAAGAAAAGAATCAAGGTGTTGCAATGGCCTAGTCAAAGTCCAAACCTCATCCCAAGACATTCCTCCTCAATGATTCCACATTTTCACAAGCTACTGAATGTTACTGAATCATACAAAGAAAATTTAGACACAATAGGTATAAAAGAGTCTTTGTAGGACTAACTTTAGTTTCCAACAGGAAATATTCAGAAAAAAAGTTAGCTATAATTAACTTTAGGCTGAAGATTCCATGCTAACACTTGTGGTCCTCAAATGTCATCTAAGAAAAGGGGTTTCATTTTACCTCAGGTTATACATAACACTCTACCCCACAGTGCACTGAGTGTAAACACAGGGGCTCACCTGCTATTCTCAAATGATGTGTGGAAGCCCACTGTGTGTGCTGTGGGGCTAGTTCCAGTGTTCCTGTAGGATTTTACATAGAGCACAAATTATTATTGCAATATATTTCACACACAGTTATGAATTAACTGTTAGATTACTGCATCAGTACTTTGTACTAATTTGTACTCATTTTTCCTTAAAAAAAAAACTTTAGTAATTATAAAGGCTGATCAATTTCTTGTGTGAATTAACCCACAATTAAAAACAGTGCAGGTGACCCACCACTAGAGAGAGAAAAGGGAGAAAAAAGTACAGCAAAGGCTACCTGGGAAGTAAACAGACTTCATCCTGAGTAAGTCATCTGATCTGCTGGGAGACTCTGGTTAATGCTAAACTAAGGAAGCCCTGGGAAATCTAATAATATATATAATAATAAATATTTCTCCTCTGAGAAATATTTGTTTTTTATGGGGTTTTTTTTGTTTGTTGTATGAAAGTAGTTGATGAATGGAAAAGCAGTAAAAGCTAATAGAGTATCCTGTTATGTATAGATGCTGCAAAAAGGCCATCAAATATACAATCTAAAGAAGAATGGTAAATGGCCTGTATTTGTATAGCGCTTTACTAGCACTTTACACATCCAGTCACCCACCCATTCACACACACATTCACACACTGGTGATGGCAAGCTACAAGAACTGATGACATGTCAGATTACACAGAGGCAGTTTTGCCTCTACGTACTGAAATTTTGGTTTGTGTGCACACTGGGATAGAACAACAGGGATAGAAAATTGTGAGATTTTATGAACAAGGAAAGTGTACATTTCATTCATTCATCACTCCTTAAGTTGCAGCACAAATAAATACCAAGAGAGTATTTCCAGAGATATTACAGGAGGCAGAAATGGTATTCAGACAATCCAACAATGAATAGAAATCTAAAGGAGAATTCAGTAACACCAAAGATAGTGGCTGATCAAGATCAACTTTAGTATCCCCGAGGGGCAATTTGCTTTGTAGCCAGCCAAGATGTGCCAAGAAAAACACAAATCACATCATAGAATTTTAAAAATGAATAGTGGTAGGAGCAAATTGGAATTTAAATCTATTTGTTCTGCAATTAGGCAAAGAATACCTCCTCCCTTAAGTCAACAGCTGACACTCTGAAAACACAGGATGTGTGCTATCACCCGAATTTTTTCTCCCTTCAATTCTGCTGCGCTGCCTCCAGGAGGGCAGATCATCTAGCTTTATACCTGCCACTTTACTACACAATTTAACAACATGCTCCAACCTCTTCTTGTTCTTCAAGCTAAGAGACCCAAACCAGCAGATTGAAGAAAAAGTTAAAACAGACTCAATAAAAGACAAATAGAACATTTTCCTAAAGACATTATCCAAATTAAAACCCCTAGGTTTCCGATACAAATACTCATGCTGGTTCCTAAAATATACAAATAAAGCTGGTTTTAAGAAATATTACAGCAACCTCACTACATAAATGACAATAAAGCACCATTATCTGAACACACACAGTAACTACACTAGGGTTTGATGTGTGCATTTTCTGTGCTAGCTCCCTAAGCAGGCAAGCTGTCGTCAAAACTTTGAAAATCTCTGCTAAGCACTAGCCTGGCACTGTTTGTGCAGTGCGACAAATAACAAAACTCCACCAGCCTTGCACTTATAACGCTACACTCATGTTATCAGCACTTGAAACATTACAATGGTGATACTGTTATGAAAACTGTCATTCTGCAAATGTGTCAGCTCTGCATGGAGACTGTGGGATTTGTAACTACTCCAAGCTGCCAAGTGACTCAGCAGTCACTGAAGAAATACGAAGGACACAGCATTCACTGCATCAAAGAATAATAATAATAATAAATAAATAAATAAATAAATAAATAAATAAATAAATATATATATATATATATAATTATTATTATTTTTTTTTAATTGCATGGCATTTGTGAGAAGCCCTTTATCCATTTCTTTTCAACACTGATAAAGTGTGCATTCCAAGTGGTGTGCTAATCAGGAATGTGTTCAAAGTGGTTCACATTACTAAGCTGACACAGTTAGAAAGGCCCTGAGATTTCCAAAAACACAGTACTTGTTCTACATCTGGGGAAAAAACATGAACAGGATGGGAGTTATTCCAAGTCAACAGACCAAGACTAACTGATACCATGTAGAGACCATTTCTCTGTCAATACTTGTTTGCAGCAAAATAGTCAATTTAAAAACAAAACGCAGACAAAAAAGTTCTCGTTTCAATGTCACTGTAACTAATAAAAATTATCTATCACTAAGTTTAAGCCTTAGGTGACAGAACTAATCTACAAACTGATTAAATCAAATAATGTGACTGCCTCTATAACAGGAAAGGGTGGGTGAGCTACTGTGATAATTATCTCCCAACAAAAATGAAGGACGAATCTCTGCTCCAGTTCTTAAAACCGTGTAAAGCAGCTTCCATTAACACAGCGCCGTTTTACACTCTGTGTGTGTATGGGGAGGGGGGTTACATGCAGTACATTATGCCCAGGCGAATTTTGTGTGACTGTTTGTAAATCTATGTTTTGCATTCAGTAACTGGCTTACTTATCCAGATATTTATCTATTTACTCATTTGGGAGGTGAGGATAAACACACGCTGACATGAATGCTTTTTACATAAAACCAGAGACTACGAAGAGGCATGTTCAGACATGATATACAGTGGGGTTTTTTCCAGAGCACTCACCTAAACCTAGTGAGTGCTCTGAAGTGGCTGAGTACCTCTCTTTAGATACAGGATCTAAAGCATTTTATACAGCAAAACACACTATTTGGAATCCATCTAGTCTTGCTATATCCAAATTTGAAATATCTATGGCGTTATGTATGAGGCAAATATCTAACGCAAATGCTATTTGAAATAAAGAAATGTGTTTGTGTATAACAAAAGGATTGTCTGCGGCTTTAATAAATAAATAAATAAGTGTTTATTACACTGTACGTGGGCATTTAACTAAAGACAAACGAGATGCGACAAATGATGGGTTTCCGAACTATTTTATTCATCGGAAAAGGAGGGAGTATGGCTACATTTATAAGCAAGCAAGGGTAACATTAAAACAAAACGGTTGCCCCTTTCTGCTGTGCGGTTTGTGCACAGCACAAGTCCTGAAATACAACGACCGTTATCTCGCCATTCGCCCTGTAACAGTCATCGAAACGAAAAAATAAATAAAATAAAAAGATGGGGGGGGGGACTACACCGTTAACTGCTCCTTGTGCTCACACGCCAGCTGTGGAATGTTAAAGCTAGCCTGTTACTAGCTAACGCTAGTTGCCTGAGCCCAGTCTCTATCTGTATGCAGCTCTCTCTTATAAAAGTTGTGGGCGACAGCTAAGTTTTTCGCCTCAAAGAAAGCGCTAATCCCAGCGCTTACCTCCCCATTCCCCAGTTCACCAAAGGGAAAAAGTAAGGACACAACGTACAAACTGCGTTAGGTTTAATTCTCACCTTATGCTGTAGTAACTCATGTTTGTCCACGGTTGCTAAGGAAGATCCTCAGGAGGCATAGCACTTTTGTGGTTGGGAAGAACTCAGTTGCTCAGTCCTTAGTTACCGAGCACACTAAAGACAGGGGTTGCTATTGGCTTACCAGTTACTTAGGGGGAAGTTGATTGGTGGACATTCTACAGAAAGGGGGAGTGCATGCCTTGACTGTAGGAGGGGTTTGATTTTTCATTTTATATAAATAAAAACCTGTATAAATATAAGTTTATATAAATGCAAGTAATGTATACGAATGAATTAGCAATGATTTGTCACAAATCTAAAGTTTTAGAAGAAAAACATCCAGCTAAATTTCCACCTGTCCAATCTAACCCAACTGCAATTATAGCAATATAACTTTACTGCAAACTAAATGTGGGTCAAAGTATGTTTTTGTGGAACACGTTAACACTGCTGTGAGGTAGTCTGAATTAATGGTATATCTAACTACTCACAAACCTGCAAGTTACAGGTCTGGCATCTACCATGTAACATAAATGGAAACTAGTGTTTTTCAGTGGTTTCTGGGAAAGTCTTTGAACGGTTGTGTCACTGTAACTGTTAAACACTTATTTCACCTGCTGATGCTCATCTTTCGTTTCAGAAGGGATGCATCCAGGGATCAGCACAGCTTTTTTAGGGTCAACACTTTTAGTGTGACGTCTTGACTTACCAAGAGTCAATCACAATCTGGGATGTTGTCTCAATAAATGGAATGCTAGAAGGAGGGATAAAAATGCAGAGCAATCCCAGGTGTAAGGGGTCACAGGAAGCCTGAGAGATTACTCAATAATCAAGCTTTTTCTTTCCTCTTAAACATTTATTTTATGCCTATTTTTAAATTGCACAGCAGAATCATCAAAAACAATCTTAAATGGCCCTTCAGAAGACCAGTCGTTAGATCACACAGTTAACTTGAGTACTTATTTTGTGCCTCTTAATTTTTGGATATTTCAGTTAAAGTTAATATAGATTAAACATTCTTCCAGATGTCTGCTATCAAAATCCATTAGCATATGAATAACAATCCAGATATGTTGCCACAAGTGAGGATTAAATCTACTGTATATAACATAATTTATAAAAACAGTACAGTATCATTAGAATCTGTCTGTCACAAGACAGATTTTAATATCACACCCATTAAACTAATTTACTAAAGTTATATTTTAAACTCATGCATAAAAATGTTGTTCAGAGGGGGTTCATAACAGACTTTGTCAGACGTGGCATTATGATGTTTAGAACTGCAACAATTAGTCAATTAACCAATAAACAGGAAATTAATCTGCAGCTATTATGAGAATACAGACAAATCTTACAATCTCTACATCAACTTTGAATTAAAGCATCTGCCTCAGAGAGATGGCCCCTCTGTTTTAACAACACCATCAAGTTCTTTCTTCTTCTCCATGTCACCTTCATTCCATAGTCCCTCTCTGGCGTGTCAGCCACCAAAATGTCAGGTGACTCATTACATGGAGGCGTACACGGCTGAGCCAGCAGCAAATGTCCACAGGGGGTAGACGGAGAAATGTTCCTTTCCTCCATTGCTTTCGGAGTGTCCACATCAGGAGGTGGACAGACACTGCTGACTTCAGTGGTGCTAAACTCTTCACAGGGAAGTGTTGAAGCACAGACTGCTGGAATTCTGCATCTCTCTGACACTTGCACAGATGGTCTGTCAGGTTCAGCCAAACATCTTTGGTGGGATGAAGTGTCGTCTGAGAATGTTTCAGCGCTCTTTTTTCTTACTGAGGCAAACTGTCCCTTTGGTAGGTTAGAGCACTGTGCAGCTGAAACTGTCCTTCTCTTTTCGGCAGGTTTCCTTTCCACATGAGTACTCTCTATAGCTTTCTTCTTGAAGATCCCCTTTGGTTGCTGAGTTTGGTCCTTTGACCCTGTTTTAAACAGTAATTGGGGGAATTTGCAGACACTATTTTTCCTGGACAGCTGACTGCAGCTATCCAAGATGCTTGTGGCAGACTGACACTTTCTCCTCCCTCGTCTCACTGGAGGTGCAGTTGCAACTGAAATGTCAAATTGTGGCCTAACCTGAAATATTAAAGGCAAATTAAACAAAATAATCTATGTAGTCATATGTGAAAATTATTATATGAAATTCTAGCAAATGAAGATCAGGTTTATGTTCAGAAATAATTTTTAAGCAAAACATAGCCCACGCCACTTTAAAAAGTATTCATTACAGCTTACCCAGGAATTAAGAGCTGAGCTGCTCTGTGCTTCTGCCTCTGTGAAGAAATCTCTGGCATTGAGTGCTGCTCGGATTTCGGGCACATTTTGGAGTTTGGCTCCACACAAAGGCCGCTCCAAGAATTGCAGCGAAGGCTTTGCTGTCTTTGTAACTTTTCTGGGCATTAAGATAAATCATCACAGAACACCTGGTGGAATAAAAACACGATCAACTGAGACATCAAATGTCCGCAAATAACCAGATGTTGCTACCAAACCAAAACTATATTCGGTTACTACCAAACCGAATATACTCGCTCGTGGGTGCTAAGACGACATTAAACTTACCTTAATGTGCGTATTTGCATACAATAAATACTTGTATCAAAAGTTAGTTTTTAGTGTAAATTGTCTTTTCTCTGCCTGCTTTGTTTTCATCTTTTTGTTGCTTTTTGTTTGTTATTTCCCGGGTCGTCTTCCCCTTCTTCTTTTTGGTTAGGTTGGGGCTTGACAAACCACCTCATATGTGCATTACTGCCATCTACCGTAGCCATTGTATTTTCTGATTGGTTCTAGTGACGTCGCTATCCTATCTGCTATTGGTTCAAAAATTTCACGTGATCAAAGTGACGGGAGGCCGCACCCACAGCGCCAAAATTCAAAATCGCGTGTGAATCGTATTGACGTCATGTAAATAACATTAAATAAAAGGCTGTTTTAGATGTTTTCGGTTATTTTAAACACGAATATGAACCATTACTGGTTGGACTCAAGCTAAACGGAATCTTCTGAAACTTCGCAGTAATATGAAGGTCAGGTTTTTTGCCGTTTGTTGGAGCAGTGTAGTGAACTAGGCACCTTGCTAACGTAGCTTAGCAGACTACCTCAGCGTACGCTAGCGTTAGCTTTTATCGTCAGGTGCAAGAAAACCTAACGCTGGAAAAATTGAATTTGTTTAGGTATAACGACACAAATCAGTTGCTGACTTTAATGTAAGTTATATGCTAATGTTTCAATAATTGTCAAAATGGTTAGGGGGCCAAACGTTTCTCGAGTCCCGTAGCTATTATATAATGTTACTGTTTACTCTTGTTGTAACTGTTAATCTTCGTTGTTCATTCTCATTTGTAGTTGTGTGTGTGTGTGTGTGTGTGTGTGCAGAATACCCCTGAACAACTTGGCACATTTCAATGATCTGACCATGAGACGGAGCCCGAGGAGACCCCTGATTCTTAAAAGAAGAAAACTGCCTTTTCATCAAAATGCGACGGATTCACAGCCTGGAGAATCAGGCTCCAAAGAACTGTCAAAACCAGCTGCCGCTCAGAGCTTTTCTGATGGTATCCGCATCATGGACCATCCATCCAAGTCTGATACTCAGGTGGTTGTCATTCCGGAAAAAGCAAATCTTCAAAGTGTTATTGGGGCCCTCACAGCTAAAGGCAAGGAATGTGGTGCCCAGGGCCCAAACAAGTTCATTCTTCTGAATGGAGGTGGGAGTGGCAACAAGTGGGACTATGGACTTGATTCTCAGTCTGCTGCTGAAGCGGCTGCTACAAGGAGTACAGAAGGACATACAGTTAAAGCTGAAACTACAAGCAATTTCCCAGGTGACAAATTTCTAACTGAAATTAAATAATAATTTAAAGTTTTTTTTTTAATGTTTAGGATAATGCTTAATGTATAAGTGTGGAATTCAGTGCTTTTTTCCCTCTCTGTCTGATACTAGTGAATAAGGATGTAAACTGTGGTCCATTGGATGACAGCCTTACCAACATTCAGTGGTTGGGTAAGATGAGCACATGTGCCTTGGAGCCAAATTCTACAAAGCAGCTCAGCAGCAAGGAGAACCAAAAACTTTTACCACAGACCTTTCAGGTTCAGAGCTTTTTCTTGTCACTTACCTGCCTTGTTTTATTTTTTTGAGGGGGGGTGCATACTTTTCTGAAGGCAACATTGACCCCAGACATACTGCTACATGTTCCCTAAACACCCTTTCTTGACAAGTTGGTCACAGCTGGGATTTGCAATAACAGCAATAGTAGTCTGATTACAGAAAATAGTTACACTGTCAGATTTATTGACTGTTGTTTGTTTGTTTTTTGTCATATAGGCACACAATACACATACCAGTGCAGAAGCTCCTCAGCAACCCATTTCAGAGAGGCCACCGTACTCCTACATGGCCATGATCCAGTTTGCTATCAATAGCAGAAAGAACAGGAGGATGACCCTCAAAGAGATTTACATGTGGATTGAGGACAACTTCCCTTACTATAGAGATGTGGCCAAACCAGGCTGGAAGGTACTTCAGAGCTGCTGAAAGTGTGATATGTTCACAGCTCTGCAGCAAGCAGCAGTTTTCAAATACTTTTTCTTTTCATTTATAATTGCAGAATTCCATCCGCCATAACCTTTCTCTGCATGACATGTTCATTCGTGAAACGTCTCCAGATGGTAAAATGTCTTTCTGGACTATCCGACCTGAAGCCAATCGATGCCTCACACTTGATCATGTGTACAAGGTGAGTGCAGCTGACTCGTTGCTTTTACATCGGTGATATCTGGGAACATTTGTGGTACTTGGCCTGAATGCTTGTTAAATGCTTATTGTTTTACCTTGTGTTTATATAATGATTTTGCTTGGATCCTTGTTTTTCAATTGTTTGTTTGTTTTTATGGCTGACACCTTGAGAGTGTTTTGAGATTCCTCATGTTGTTTTTCATCTTATTTTCCCCCTAATCTCACTTCACATCTCTCTCTGTAGCCGGGCTGTGATCCAGTGACTGCCACTGTTCCTGTGCCAATGCTTTTACTGGCTAATCAAGTAAGACTGATTTAGCCCCTTTCTTTTTTTTTTTTTTTTTTTTTTTTTTTGTAGTTCTTCAGAAGCCATCTTTAAATCGCACTCAGGCAGCAGTAAGCCGAGAAGGGCCAGAAAAATCAGAACGTTTATGAATCTATTTGTCACCAGACTTTCAGACCTACACAGTGTAGCTACACCTGTTTTTGTTGCAGGAGGAGACGAGAGCAGCAGGGAAGCAGAGAGGCTGAAATCAGTCTGAAAGGCTAATGTGCTTTAAGAGCACTTGTTTCTCCTAATGTCTGGTATCCATACAATCATAAAGTTTTTATTCCTCTCATATCAGTAAAGATGTAGGGTCGGCTATGAAGGGCCAAATTTTGGACAGAACGCCAAGTTATTGTTGTTAGGTGGCAGCACAGTAAGGCTCCTAACTGATATAATTTCTGTCTCATCTTACTTTTCACAGCACCAAAAGAGGACACTTCCAGATGCAAGAAAAACACCAACTAGCTCTGGTGAGTTAAAAGAAATGTATGAGTTGTTTTATAAATTTGAGACTTGAGAAAGATCAGAGGTTGGCAAACTGCTGTTTAGTTTGGAAATGTGTAGTGCAATGTTGATGTGTTTTCTGTGTTCAGAGAGAAAGATGAAACCTCTTCTGCCTCGAACCGATTCATACTTGGTGCCCATACAGCTCCCCGTCACTCCTTCTGTCTACCTGCCATCCACTTCTACCCCTTTTCCTCCGCCCTGCTCCCAGCAGAAGGGGAACAATTCACGAGGAACAAAGAGAGTCCGCATAGCACCGAAGGTAATGAATTTCTCATATATTTCAGCTTTTTTAAAATGTGTTGTTGTTGTTGTTTTACTTCATAAGCTATGCAAGTTGCAAACTGCTTTTCAAAACAAGTATTTCTTGGAACTCCCTAGAGTTTACATTGACAACATTATGTGCATAGAGATGAGTATGAACTTCACCCATACCACTAAGATTTTAATGGGAATGGTTGCATGTCTGACAGGTGACACAAAGTGATTCCCCAGCTGTGATGATATCTCCTCAGAAGAATACGGACTTTAAGGTAGAAGTGAAGGAGGAGCTGGTATGTGTTCCAATTAAATGCGAGACCCCCAAAGCTCCTCCAAAGAGACAAGCCAGCAGCTCACGGCGCAAACAGTGTTTGGTTCTCTCTGTGAATGAAGAGCCTGTTCTCCTCTGCCACGAAAGTAATTTCTTTGACTCTGGCGTAGCCTCCGATGCTTCGACATTCCAGGACAATCCACATATTGAGCTGGATGAAGACAAGCATGGGCAGGAAAGCCCAGATAGGGAGTTCTCATTCAAAACCCCGATAAAAAGTAGAAGCCATTTGACCTCATCCACCCCCAGCAAGCCACCTTCTTATGTTGCACTTGAGTCTTGGAAAGTGACCCCGGTGGGCAAAGGAAGCCAAAATATTCTGGACTTCAGCCCTATTCGTACACCAGGTGGTCCCACAGATACTCCACAACACGACTACACCACCTTCAGCTTCAGCAGCACTCCCTTTAAAGACTTGCCTCTGTTTAACTCCCCAAGAGAGCTGCTCACATCTGCTCCCTCCAGAGTGACCGGACCAGCAGAGTCGCCCACCGAATGCCTCAAAAGTAGCTGCTCCAGAGAGCTTCTGCAGGGAGGCAGTTCCACAACAGCCAATCGCTCAATCACAGAGGGCCTCGTCTTGGATACCATGAACGACAGCCTGAGCAAGATATTGGTGGATATTAGCTTCTCTGGTCTGGATGATGACGACCTTGGTATGGCGAACATCAGCTGGTCTGAGTTCATCCCTCAGTTGAAATAGCCAGAGGGCCGAAACACATTCTATGGCTAAGCAGTGTCACCTGTTTCTTTTTCCTTTTTTTTCTTTGTGTAAACACTACATGATTAGGCCCACACCAAAGCAGCAAGACAGAAACAAATTTAGATCTGACACTATTTAAACCATCCGAACTGTCCATATTGAAGAGGATTTCTCTCAATAGAAGGCGAGGCTGTTGATGTAGGAAGAAATTTTGTAGTGCTCTAGAGTGCTCTGATTTACTTTGGTTGTCAAATATTCAGAAGCATACCTATGATTATACCAAAACAACTTCAAATAAAGCCCACTTGATGCTGCAATTTTAAACTTCTTATTGGAGACTTATTCAGACCTCCTATTTGCAGTAGTTTAGGAGCTTTTAGCTTCAAGTTTCTTTTACATCTGCTTTGCTGCTGGAGGGTTCTGGCTACCACATGAGGGGGGAAATGTAACATTGATAAATAGATTACAGGGATGCTTCAGTCTCAATTACTGTTTGATGGTTTTACCTTTGAGTTTTTCATTCATTGGATCAGTCAATGATTGCCTCGGTGTCACTTCTTTTTCTTTGAATTTCTTCACATATTTGGGCCTCTTTGTGTTTTATGGTTTTCCTTATTTGTGTTATTTGTCTGTCTTCTTGAAGAACATGCATAAGAAGAGAAATATGTAAGTGTATATGTATGTTGATTTGCACATTTTAATATATAATTTAGCTTCTACACAAATTTTAAAGTATGTGATATTTTCTGATCAGCCAGCAGGATGCTTCACTGCAGTTTGAGTCAGCGTCTTAGAGCTGACTTAAAATAATAGATTGTGATGGAGGATTGCTAGTAATAGGCCTTGACAAATAGCACTAACAGGGATAGGACTGTTTCTGTATTTAACTGTAGAACTGTCTTTATCACATGACTTCATAAATTCTCACAGTAATTGTCCTTGTGTATGCTAATATCACTCATTTCCAGGGCACCTTTAACCTACAAAAAATGCATGCAGTGACTTCATTCACACAGTCTTGGAGTTTAATATTCACTGTAGTTTTTGCAGCCCCAACTCTGGAGGATAAATACCTGTTTTTAAAGATGCCACAAAGTGTTGCATACCTATGACTTCATTAGTCCTTTGTTGATGTGAAACTTGATGGTTTAGTGAGGTTTTGCCGTGCATTGAGGTATTTCTGTTTATATTTCATTAAAGGTGTAAACTATCATAGATTGTCTGTTCAAAAATGTTTAATTCCTTGTTAGTGACGGTACTGAATCATGCAATTTGGGTAAAATTGATTTTATTCTAAACTCACCGCATGAAAATGGTAGTTTGTAATATTTTTTTCAACAAATGACATCATTTATCCATTTTTGCCCAAATAAGCAATTTCATGTGATGTTCTTAGTTTCCAATAGGACCGTATGATGGCTTACCGCATTCCAATGGACCAAAAGAATGACACGATGTTGACACAGGTTTGATCTTGAGGTTCTCAGATAATAGTTTGTTTGTGCATGATTCTGCAGCACAAATATGTATTTGCAAGACAAACTGCAATCAAACAGCAAATGCTAAAAGCACCTTTATTCTTGTATTTTTAATAAAAAAAAAAGATACCATACCCAAAATATTAACTCTTGAAAAAAAAAAACCCTCACAGGACATTTTGCAGAGTTCGCAGCTGCAACGCAAACAGCAACAAACACTTTGTAGTTCTGTCCTGGAGTTTATACAGGTGCAGTCAGTGCTACTGCTACAAGTAAGCCTAACACCTTCCAGATCAATTTTTTCTGGCAAGAAGGGCTGGCAACTGAGTGAAGGAAAAACCAGCTTGTCCAGTTGCAACAGGCAAAGATTTTGTTGTCTGTCTTTTTCCTTCACCAAAACTACGATGCCAATATCCCACATCCCAAAGCAACGGAGGAATGGGCTTATTTTGACAACAACACACAGGGAACCAGCAGTCAGTGATGGGGAATAGAGGAAGCCTGAAGCAAGAAGCAATCCTGGTCTGCACAATTGAATAGTGTGGATGACCTAGACAGGATGTTGGCACCTTGAGTTGCTGAAGGAAAACTAGCTGCTGGGTGCTGGCTTTTTTCTATAGTCTCCTGGATGTCTTGAAATACAATGTCTTTGTCCCTTAGAAACCACTTCACAGGAGTTGGTGGAGTCTAAAACCTAATGATCCTGGAAAAGCTGGGACGCATGCTGGTGACCTCAGCCACTGGGGGGGGAATCAGAATAAAAGTTTGGTTTTTATGGCAAGGACTGATGCCAGTTTGAAAAATCAAATGGAAATTGTTTTAACATATATTCATTTTATAGCATTTTCTAAATGTAAACAGGAGGTGGCCACTTTTGGCCATGAACATGCTGAGTGGGAGTTTTTCTGCTTTTCTGTGCAAAAAAAAAAAAATTATGATGACTATATAATCATTGATACTGTTAATTACTGATATACATCTAACTGCAATCATGGGGGAAAAAGAAATCAGATTGTATGTATTATTTGGGGAAAATAGTCATTTTATTATTTTATCTTTTTGTAGATCATTACAATTATGTGATCTAACTGGTATTGAAAGGGTTGAAATTCGGAATTTGAATGAAATTTTGGTTTTCATGACCAGAACTGATGCTAATTTAAAAAATCAAGTCGGTCAAAGTGGGAAAAAAAAAAAAATATATATATATATATATATATATATATATATATATATATATATATATATATATATTAATTTGATAGTATTTTATAAACCTAAACAAAAGGTGGTCATTTTGCCACGAATAAGCTGAGTGGGAGTTTTATCTGGTTTGCTTTCCATGCACAAAAATAACAATTCATAATAATCGATGTTGCTGTTAATCGATTTCATGTCCCAGACTCTACCATTAATAATACAAGAAAATCCAGTAGCATGCGAATAAATGAAATGGTGAGTTTTGAGGTTGTCTTCCAACAAGTACATTGTACAAACAAACTGTTTTCTTAAAGGTTAAAATGTAAAAGAAAAAAAGGAATGACTATTTTATATTTATGAAAAAAACTGATGTTAGTTAAAAACTTTATGCAGTAAAAATAGCAACAACCCCCCATAAAAATAATAAAAATTACACACCTAATTTATTGGTGGACACTTTTTGCAACGAACAAGCTGAAAGGATTGTGATTTTGAACAAACCCAGAAGGTTAAAAACATTAGCTAACGTCTGTTGTTCGAGAAGCTTGAAATCGTCCGGAAACATCACTAACTGAAGAAAATCAGCCGCTTAAGTGAGGAGTTCAAGATATAAAAGGAAAGAAAAAAGGTGCGGACTTGGTTTTACTTAGATGACATTTAACCCGTTTAGTGTACGATTTATTATGATCAGTATTTGAGCTAAATCGTTGAGTTTTCCCGAGTTGATCTAGACTGAATTGCTGTGAACGGACTTGATGGCTAACGCCAGTAACTGACTTGATAATTTCCATCTCCCAGCTAAACGTTACCGTTACTGTTAACTCTTGTTGTAACAGTTAATCTCCGTTGTTCAGGCTCGTTTGTGTTTTTTGTGCAGAATACCTCTGAACAACTTGGCACATTTCAATGATCTGACCATGAGACGGAGCCCGACGAGACCCCGGATTCTCAAAAGAAGAAAACTGCCTTTTCATCAAAATGCGACGGATTCACAGCCTGGAGAATCAGGCTCCAAAGATCCGTCAATACCAGCTGCTGTTCAGAGCTTTCCTGGTGGTATCCGCATCATGGACCATCCATCCAAGTCTGATACTCGGTTGGTATACTTTCCCGAAACAGCAGATCTTCAAAGTGTTATTGGGGACCTCACAGCTAAAGGCAATGAGTGTGGTGCCCAGGGCCCAAACAAGTTCATTCTTCTGAGTGGGAGTGGCAACAAGTGGGACTATGGAGCTGATCCTCAGTCTGCTGCTGAAGCGGCTGCTACAAGGAGTACAGAAGGACATAAAGTCAAAGCTGAAACTACACGCAGTTTCCCAGGTGACAAACTTCTAACTGAAATTAAACCATGTACGGAAAAAAATTTCTTTTATTAATGTTTAGGATAATACTTAAAGTATAAGTGTGGAATTTAGTGCTTGTTTTTCCTCTGTCTGATACTAGGGAATAAGGATGTCAATTACAGTCCTTTAGATGACAGCCTTGGTAGGATGAGCACATGTGCCTTGGAGCCAAATTCTACAAAGCAGCTCAGCAGCAAGGAGAACCAGAACCCTTTACTACAGACTTTTCAGGTTCAGAGCTTTTTCTTGTTAACTGCTTTTTTTCCCTTGCCTTTTATGTGCCGACACAAACTTGTCTGAAGGCAACATTAACCCCAGACATGTTGCTACATGTTCCCTAAACACCCTTTCGTAACCAATTGGTCATGACTGTGATTTATAATGACAGCAATAGTAGTCTGATTACAGAAAATAGTTACACTGTCAGATTTATTGACTGTTGTTTGTTTGTTTTTTGTCATATAGGCACACAATACACATACCAGTGCAGAAGCTCCTCAGCAACCCATTTCAGAGAGGCCACCATACTCCTACATGGCCATGATCCAGTTTGCTATCAATAGCAGAAAGAACAGGAGGATGACCCTAAACGAGATTTACATGTGGATTGAGAACAACTTCCCTTACTATAGAGATGTGGCCAAACCAGGCTGGAAGGTACTTCAGAGCTGCTGAAAGTGTGATATGTTCACAGCTCTGCAGCAAGCAGCAGTTTTCAAATACTTTTTCATTTATAATTGCAGAATTCCATCCGCCATAACCTCTCTGTGCATGACATGTTCATTCGTGAAACGTCTCCAGATGGTAAAATGTCTTTCTGGACTATCCGACCTGAAGCCAATCGATGCCTCACACTTGATCATGTGTACAAGGTGAGTGCAGCTGACTCGTTGCTTTTACATCGGTGATATCTGGGAACATTTGTGGTACTTGGCCTGAATGTTTTGTTGCAAGAATGCTTGTTAAATGCTTATTGTTTTACCTTGTGTTTATATAATGATTTTGCTTGGATCCTTGTTTTTCAATTGTTTGTTTGTTTTTCATGGCTGACACCTTGAGAGTGTTTTGAGATTCCTCATGTTGTTTTTCATCTTATTTTCCCCCTAATCTCACTTCACATCTCTCTCTGTAGCCGGGCTGTGATCCAGTGACTGCCACTGTTCCTGTGCCAATGCTTTTACTGGCTAATCAAGTAAGACTGATTTAGCCCCTTTCTTTTTCTTTTCTTTTAGTTCTTCAGGAGCCATCTTCAAGTCACAACCTCAGAAAAATCAGAACGTTTATGAATCTATTTGTCACCAGACTTTCAGACCCACAGAGTGTAGCTACACCTGTTTTTGTTGCAGGAGGAGACGAGAGCAGCAGGGAAGCAGAGAGGCTGAAATCAGTCTGAAAGGCTAATGTGCTTTAAGAGCACTTGTTTCTCCTAATGTCTGGTATCCATACAATCATAAAGTTTTTATTCCTCTCATATCAGTAAAGATGTAGGGTCGGCTATGAAGGGCCAAATTTTGGACAGAACGCCAAGTTATTGTTGTTAGGTGGCAGCACAGTAAGGCTCCTAACTGATATAATTTCTGTCTCATCTTACTTTTCACAGCACCAAAAGAGGACACTTCCAGATGCAAGAAAAACACCAACTAGCTCTGGTGAGTTAAAAGAAATGTATGAGTTGTTTAATAAATTTGAGACTTGAGAAAAGTCAGAGGTTGGCAAACTGCTGTTTAGTTTGGAAATGTGTAGTGCAATGTTGATGTGTTTTCTGTGTTCAGAGAGAAAGATGAAACCTCTTCTGCCTCGAACCGATTCATACTTGGTGCCCATACAGCTCCCCGTCACTCCTTCTGTCTACCTGCCATCCACTTCTACCCCTTTTCCTCCGCCCTGCTCCCAGCAGAAGGGGAACAATTCACGAGGAACAAAGAGAGTCCGCATAGCACCGAAGGTAATGAATTTCTCATATATTTCAGCTTTTTAAAATGTGTTGTTGTTGTTGTTTTACTTCATAAGCTATGCAAGTTGCAAACTGCTTTTCAAAACAAGTATTTCTTGGAACTCCCTAGAGTTTACATTGACAACATTATGTGCATAGAGATGAGTATGAACTTCACCCATACCACTAAGATTTTAATGGGAATGGTTGCATGTCTGACAGGTGACACAAAGTGATTCCCCAGCTGTGATGATATCTCCTCAGAAGAATACGGACTTTAAGGTAGAAGTGAAGGAGGAGCTGGTATGTGTTCCAATTAAATGCGAGACCCCCAAAGCTCCTCCAAAGAGACAAGCCAGCAGCTCACGGCGCAAACAGCGTTTGGTTCTCTCTGTGAATGAAGAGCCTGTTCTCCTCTGCCACGAAAGTAATTTCTTTGACTCTGGCGTAGCCTCCGATGCTTCGACATTCCAGGACAATCCACATATTGAGCTGGATGAAGACAAGCATGGGCAGGAAAGCCCAGATAGGGAGTTCTCATTCAAAACCCCTATAAAAAGTAGCAGCCATTTGACCTCATCCACCCCCAGCAAGCCACCTTCTTATGTTGCGTCTTTTAAAGTGACCCCGGTAGACAAAGGAAGCCAAGATATTCTACACTTGAGCCCTATTCGTACACCAGGTGGTCCCACAGATACTCCACAACACGACTACACCACCTTCAGCTTCGGCAGCACTCCCTTTAAAGACTTGCCTCTGTTTAACTCCCCAAGAGAGCTGCTCACATCTGCTCCCTCCAGAGTGACCGGACCAGCAGAGTCGCCCACCGAATGCCTCAAAAGTAGCTGCTCCAGAGAGCTTCTGCAGGGAGGCAGTTCCACAACAGCCAATCGCTCAATCACAGAGGGCCTCGTCTCGGATACCATGAACGACAGCCTGAGCGATTTATTGGTGGATATTAGCTTCTCTGGTCTGGATGATGACGACCTTGGTATGGCGAACATCAGCTGGTCTGAGTTCATCCCTCAGTTGAAATAGCCAGAAAGCCGAAACACATTCTATGGCTAAGCAGTGTCACCTGTTTCTTTTTCCTTTTTTTTTCTTTGTGTAAACACTACATGATTAGGCCCACACCAAATTGATTTGCACATTTTAATATATAATTTAGCTTCTACACAAATTTTAAAGGATATATTTTCAAGATGCTTCACTGCAGTTTGAGTCAGCGTCTTAGAGCTGACTTAGAATAATAGATTGTGATGGAGGATTGCTAGTAATAGGCCTTGACAAATAGCACTAACAGGAACAGGACTGTTTCTTTATTTAACTGTAGGACTTTCTTTATCACATGACTTCATAAATTCTCACAGTAATTGTCCTTGTGTATGCAAGAGTGAAATGTTGTGGTTTCTAGCAGTTTTCAGACCTTGTACCTGACTAAACTCTGTGTTTCTAAGACAACAATCAATGTGTTGGTGCCTCATATAACATGAAGATTTTTTACTTATGTTTTTGGGTATAAGCAAACTTTGATCTTTTGTCTTGCTCAGATCAAATTTAATGTAGAGACAAGGCGTAATTTCTACACCCTGAAATATTCTTCAATACAGCAATGAACCCTTTTGCACATAGCGTATTTTATTTGAAAAACTGTGTAGCAAGACTGCTTATTTCTGTTTATATTTCAATAAAGGTTTAAACTATCATAGGTTGTCTGTTCAAAAATGTCATTTTAACTAACGTTTCAAAATGAACATTTTGAGTGCATCTTTGAAACTTTAAGTACTTTTTTTGTAAGGTCTCTGGTATAAACACTACATACTTGCATAATTGATGCAGTTAGTTTCTCTAAACACGTGGCTCTTTATATAAAAGTAGTACAAAATGAAACATTTGTTTAAACTGTTAAAAATGTCTTCTTAATGTTTTGTCCAGGTAGTATCCGTGTAGTCTGCAAGTAGAATGCAGGATGCCTCTTGGGTCTTCAGTAAGTCTGGACTTCCTGTTGAGCCACTTCTAGAAGGATCTGTAGCTGTTTGCTGCAGTAGTCTGGGAGAATTGAGGAAAGTCAGAATTAGTTTGTTCACTACAAGCAACTGAGTTTCTCGATTTCACTCATCCTCTTCCTTCTTAACAAAAACAAGCAGGCATATATGATCATTTGACACTACCAAAGATGCCTATGTTTAATATTAAAAATAGAGCCACTAAATTCAGTCCCATGACGAAAACTATCATGTTAATACATTCTGAAGAAGAATATTGGTACAACTTACCAAATATGCGCCTGCATCTACGGGGCAAACGAAAGCGGTAGACAGTAACATAGTAAACTGGGACACCAGTCAGTGTTAGAGCACAACTTTGTCCTGTGTTCCAGGGGTCAGAGTAAAGAGACAGACCCACAATGAAGAAGGAGACCATTGTGAAGGTGATTCCAATGACCAAGGGCACCTTCACATTACAACAAATAAAACAAGTTGGTCAGCGTAGTGTGCAGCAGTAAGATAAAGGGAGGTTTTTTTGAGTTCAGTATGCTAACCTTAAAAGGTCTTGGATGGAGAGGAAAACGATATCGATGTATGAGCATCCCCAAGGTTACCAAGGCGATGAAGAACCAGCGTGAAAAGGATGCAAAGTTGAGGAGCTGGTAAATCTCTCCAGTGATTAACATGAAAATTACCAAGGGGTACTAAAGGGACACAGGGACACAAGCAAGATAGTTATGAAGCCACTATTTTAAGAGTATCACATTATATCTCTTTGTCAGACCCTGTGCAACCCCTCATTCCTTTAGATCTGGATTAAGGCTTTGTGTTTCCCATTTTCAACCAGCCTCTTTATCCTGTGCCTGGATCCTATTGTTATTATTCATATGACATGGATAAACTTAATACAAATAAAATGTTATAATTGTTTTACTGCGTATTCTCAATTTTAATAATGCAACATAATAAATTAAAATAAGTCATCTATTTATTTGTTTAGATTGCTTCAGCTGTTTTAAAAGTAGTTTACCAGGAACAACACAGCAGGTAAAGGTGTGTGTCTGCGGATGTGAATCATGGAAAAGATGGCTGGCCAGTGGCCTTCCCTGGCTCCCACAAACAGCATCCTGCAACACAGAGCTCTCATTAGAATTCAGGCACACACACAAAAAAAATGACAATACTAAACCTTTATGGTCCTCAGATTACCTAGGTGCCCCAAAGAAGCCACCGTGAAGTGCTCCAAGGCAAGATATGGCAACAAGAACGGGGATCACAGGAGCCAACCCCTGAAAAGCACGGTTGGCAAATGTCTGCAGAGGCACAAACAGCAGATCAGACCAACAGTGACATACCACATTTACTCTAGTTTTTCCTTTTTTTTAATGATACATAAAGCAAGAAATAGAACTGACCACAGCCACAGCATCTGACAGAAGCACCTCAGCGGGAGTCATCATGGTGTAGTAGGCCACATTAACAAGCACATAAAAGACTGTCACTGCCACAATGGACAAGATTATTGCCAGTGGCATGTTTCTGATAAAGCGGGATACACACAGAGAGATATAACAGCAGGAGGCAACTTGGTTTTCAAAAAAAACGACAGACTATAGCAGATGTTTCATGCTAAAATACCTATTAGGGTTTGTGACTTCTTCTGTGATAAAGTTCAAATTAAACCTAGAGGAAAAGAGAAAGCCAAGACTCAGACATAAAGCTTTGATTGTTAGTTACAGTACATACATTGTCATGTAATTTATGGTTCTTTTCACTATTACTGGGGGAAAGAGTTTTGAATACCGTGTGATACACAGTAAAATACATTGAATTTGCACTGATCCTCAAACCACTGTACACTTACCATCCACCATAGGCATAGAGGCCGCTATAGAAGGCCAGTGGCAACTTATCCAGTGTTAACAAATCAACCTCGAAACCATTCTGGAAATTTTCTGTCTTCCCTGCAAAGACAGAGAGAATAAATGAGCTGAATACCAACTCTGTCTTAGGTTTAACAATTAGGTGCTCTCACCTTTGGCCAGTGCAATGAACCCTGGGACGATGATGAGGGCCAGGGCAAATATCTTAATGAAAGTCAAGGCGACTTGAGTGCGAAAGGCCATGTTCACACTCCAGCAATTGACGGCTACGACAAACGCTGAAGCGACACAAAGACAAAGAACTGGTTAAAGATATGTGTTGTTCTACACATAAAGTGCTCCAGACACAGATGAGTTATAAAAGCACTCACTCACTCCAAGGATACTGACAAGTCTGATGAGCACTATGGGAGCAGCACAGGGTGTGAAGAATGGCTCCACCACATAATGACCAAAGGCAAGGGAGACATAAGACGCAACAGATGGCCTAGAGGTGGACAATATCTTTGTGAGTATTATGTTTGAGGCAGTTAAATTTTTTTTTAGAACCAGTAAAAACCATACCTGATGAATAAAAACTCATTCCAGAGTCGTAGGAAGGCAGGCAGAGGCCCCAAAGTCTCCAGCAGGTATGTGTAGTGACCCCCTGATTTTGTAAAAGTGGTGCCCAGTTCTGCATAACAGAGGGCTCCTAATAGGCCAGAGGCAGAGCAGAGTTTTGGAGAAATAAGAGTATGACTTTTACTTTATAATTATTAAATGGCAAAATTTTTAGAATGTCTTTTAAGTAGTTTTAAAAGCTACTTTCAGCTTCCCCTTATTTACAACAGTGAAAAAAAAGGTAAATGGCCTGTACAGGGAGTGCAGAATTATTACGCAAGTTGTATTTTTGAGGAATAATTTTATTATTGAACAACAACCATGTTCTCAATGAACCCAAAAAACTCATTAATATCAAAGCTGAATGTTTTTGGAAGTAGTTTTTAGTTTGTTTTTAGTTTTAGCTATTTTAGGGGGATATCTGTGTGTGCAGGTGATTATTACTGTGCATAATTATTAGGCAACTTAACAAAAAACAGATATATACCCATTTCAATTATTTATTTTTACCAGTGACACCAATATAACATCTCCACATTCACAAATATACATTTCTGACATTCAAAAACAAAACAAAAACAAATCAGCGACCAATATAGCCACCTTTCTTTGCAAGGACACTCAAAAGCCTGCCATCCATGGATTCTGTCAGTGTTTTGATCTGTTCACCATCAACATTGCGTGCAGCAGCAACCACAGCCTCCCAGACACGGTTCAGAGAGGTGTACTGTTTTCCCTCCTTGTAAATCTCACATTTGATGATGGACCACAGGTTCTCAATGGGGTTCAGATCAGGTGAACAAGGAGGCCATGTCATTAGTTTTTCTTCTTTTATACCCTTTCTTGCCAGCCACGCTGTGGAGTACTTGGACGCGTGTGATGGAGCATTGTCCTGCATGAAAATCATGTTTTTCTTGAAGGATGCAGACTTCTTCCTGTACCACTGCTTGAAGAAGGTGTCTTCCAGAAACTGGCAGTAGGACTGGGAGTTGAGCTTGACTCCATCCTCAACCCGAAAAGGCCCCACAAGCTCATCTTTGATGATACCAGCCCAAACCAGTACTCCACCTCCACCTTGCTGGCGTCTGAGTCGGACTGGAGCTCTCTGCCCTTTACCAATCCAGCCACGGGCCCATCCATCTGGCCCATCAAGACTCACTCTCATTTTATCAGTCCATAAAACCTTAGAAAAACCAGTCTTGAGATATTTCTTGGCCCAGTCTTGACGTTTCAGCTTGTGTGTCTTGTTCAGTGGTGGTCGTCTTTCAGCCTTTCTTACCTTGGCCATGTCTCTGAGTATTGCACACCTTGTGCTCTTGGGCACTCCAGTGATGTTGCAGCTCTGAAATATGGCCAAACTGGTGGCAAGTGGCATCTTGGCAGCTGCACGCTTGACTTTTCTCAGTTCATGGGCAGTTATTTTGCGCCTTGGTTTTTCCACATGCTTCTTGCGACCCTGTTGACTATTTTGAATGAAACGCTTGATTGTTCGTTGATCACGCTTCAGAAGCTTTGCAATTTTGAGACTGCTGCATCCCTCTGCAAGATATCTCACTATTTTTGACTTTTCTGAGCCTGTCAAGTCCTTCTTTTGACCCATTTTGCCAAAGGAAAGGACGTTGCCTAATAATTATGCACACCTGATATAGGGTGTTGATGTCATTAGACCACACCCCTTCTCATTACAGAGATGCACATCACCTAATATGCTTAATTGGTGTAGGCTTTCGAGCCTATACAGCTTGGAGTAAGAACACATGCATGAAGAGGATGATGTGGACAAAATACTCATTTACCTAATAATTCTGCACTCCCTGTATTTGTATAGCGCTTTACTAGTCCCTAAGGACCCCAAAGCGCTTTACACATCCAGTCATCCACCCATTCACACACACATTCACACACACATTCACACACTGGTGATGGCAAGCTACATTGTAGCCACAGCCACCCTGGGGCGCACTAACAGAGGCGAGGCTGCCGGACACTGGCGCCACCGGGCCCTCTGACCACCACCAGTAGGCAACGGGTGAAGTGTCTTGCCCAAGGACACAACGACCGAGACTGACAGTGCTGCAGGTAGCTCCACATGTTTGATTTGGCAGGTTTTTCATGCACCACATGCCATTCTTGATGCAACCCTAAATGGATTTGTGTCTCTTTCCAGGACTGAACTGGGCTGTCCACTTGTGCAATCATGACACCAACATAAATCTAGCTTTTTACTATTGTGGG